AATTTAAAAAAATGTTTGTGAAAAAACGTAAATTCGTGGTCTTAAAAAAATAAAAAAAATAAAATATAGATTTAACATATTATCGCGATTATTGAGAGAAACTACCCACCGGTTCAAGTTGGATTCGGAGTACTTGGTCATGTTGTTGTTGTACCACTCGTTGCTAGTGTAGCGCGTATAGAGGGCGGCCCGGGCGGCATGCTGCGGATTGCGATCGAACCCGGTGACCAGATTGGGGAAGATCATGCCGTCCGTCTTCATGCCCTTGGGCAGGAAACACTGCTTGGCCAGCTGGTTGGTCACCGGCTGCTCGGGCAGGTGCTTCACCTGGATCATCTCGTAGGCCATCGCCGGGCGCCACGGGTGCTTCGTGGGCGTCTCGTAGGCGGCACCCACTCTCGGCGGGATCGAGGGCCCCATCACGGGCTCCATGCAGGGCGGAGCGCCCGCCTGGCTCCATGGCTGCAATTGGGAATACATGACCGTGGTTTTCGGAATTCCCGTTCCCGTTTCCGATCCCCCATCTCCATTGTGACTCATTGTGGTTGCTGGTGGACTCGGTGTCGAATCGGATATGTGCAGTGGTTTAGTGTGCAACTGAAAATTTGTGCCACTTTAAAATTTTGACTGCGTGCTGGGAATTTTTGTAGAGACAGTCTCAAAAAAAAAAAAAAAACACAGATATTGATAATATACGTGCCCTTTCGTGGAGCGGAATAAACTGAACTGAGCTCGGTTCAAAGGGCAGGTGACAGGTGCCCAAAATTTCGGTAAGGCCCGCTCTGATTGCTCATTAAAAAGTTGCCAAGTGAACAAGCGGATGGATCGATTTGCTGGCAAATCAAATGTACTTAAATTTTAACTTAAAAAATATTCATTTGCTTTTCCAAAGAAAGAGATTTTATATAATAAACAATTAAAACAGAAGATAAGATATAACATTAAATGGATATAACTACATATAAGGTTATCCTAAAACCAAAAAGAACCTTGTAGTCGAGTGCCGACTTTGAGATACCCTTGATTTGCCCTTAATAGACATATTTGCCTTTATAGAGATATGCGACACAAACTTAACAAGTGTTTATATAGAATGACTTTCAATCTTCCCAGAATCTACTTAAAAATTCCATATGTATATCTAAGAAGCTACGAGTACGGGGTATAATTACGCAGTGCAGTACTGTTATTATAATAGTAACTCTATAAATAAGTGGTAAGATTCAAAATAATGTGCTATGATACAACACTATAGATCAGGGGTGCTCACGCCTATTGACAAAAGGGTTTGGGTTAAATCGGACGACTTAATCATAAAGCTCACATGGGAGCAATCAAAATATTCCAAAAAATTAAATGAAAAAAAATTTTAACTTCCCTGTTTTTCACTTTTTTTTGGTTATATATATATATATATAATTATATAATTATATAGATTAAATTTCAGAAATAGGCTTTTAATTCTATTCAAATCGGAAAACGATATCATATAGCTGCCCTAGGGACTATGGAATGCATATAATTTAGAAATTTAGATGTTTTAAAAAATATTTAAATTGGCAATAGTAAGGGTATATAAACTTCGGCTTGGCCGAAGCTTGCTTGAGCACCCCTGCTATGGATTATGTTGTGACATGGAGTAGTGGGTTAATGGGTTAATGATATGGTCTGTGGCCGGTACATAGGACTCCATGAGGTTGCGGTGGTCCTTGCGCTCGTTGTACTCGTTCATGTCGGCGGTGGGCCACTTGTCCAGCAGGTTGTCCTTGACCAGACGGTGGTCGAAGATGCGGTTCTCGAGATACGCGTGCTTGTGGAACTTGAGCACCTCCTGCCCCTTGAGTGGTGCCATGGTGGTGCCGGCGGTTCGATTCGAAGCACTCACTATCGGTACACTGGAACGCAAGAGCAGGTTCTTGAGCGTTTCGGGCGCCTTCTGCTGCGGATTCGGGTAGCGTTGGCTCAAATAGTGATCCTCGTTGGCCCAGCAGAGCATTGGTCGATGGGACAGTAGATATGTATGTTTGCTACCGACTTGATTTTCCCGGAACTTCGTTTACTTTACGTCTGTTCGGTCTTGAGGCTCCGCTTCGAGTGGTCATGGCTGGATTTTGGCTCCTCTCAAGCGAATTTATTGATTTAACTCGGTAGCCTGGCAGCGGCATCGCTTGGCAATGGTCCACAGCGATTTGTAAAATCAATGGCAATGGCACGGGTTTATTGACCCACTTGCCAATGGGGGTCAGACTGGAATCTATTCATTTCCGAATTATTCAATTGACCTTGCTCAGTGCGGAATTAATTGCTCTCTTAAGTTCATATAAGATAAATGTTAGATATTGCACTTCTTTGCTAGAAGGGAACTAACTACTACTGTTTTTCTACTTTAAACAAACTTAGCTTCAAAAACGATTTAAACAATAAAAATAATACTCATTAAATAAAATAGATTTAAGAAACAAAAGGTAACATAAGTTTACTACGCTTTGTGTTGCTCTTCACAGTCAATTTAAAAGCAATAACAAAATTAGAGACATTACATAATTTCTTGTTTCTGAAACATATGGTATTTGCTGAGTTATTACCTTAACTCAAATTAACGGAGGGCTAATACTATATCCTTAGCTGCATTTGGTTGTCAATTAATCCATTTAAAGTTAAGCTTAAAGCCGTAGATTTATTTAAACAATCAACTACATACACAACTATATTGGTTTCACTAGAGAGTAAGCAACGCAAACAGGAGAAAAAGCGATCGCACTCTAATTGGAGCCACCTCCCGCCGGCTCCTGTTGCTTGAGCGTCTTGAGGTTCTTCTCGAACCGCTCGAACTCGCTGTCGACTATCCGGTCCGCTTCGTCGAAGACCTGCTCCACGGACTCCACCTCCGGGATGTAGAACTGCAGCATGTTCTGTACGCCGTTCTTCAGCGTCACAATGGAGCTGGGACACGAGGAGCAGGAGCCCTGCATCCGCAGCTTGACGACGCCGGCCTCGAAGCCCATGAAGACGATGTCGCCGCCATCCTCCTGGACAGTGGGCCGGATGCGTGTGTCCAGCAGCTCCTTGATCATCATCACCGTCTCGTCGTCATCCTCGAGGATCTCGGTGTCCGCATTGGGCTGGGCGTCATTGAGGACGGGCAAGCCGCTGGCAAAGAAGTCCATGATTACGGCAAAAACCTCCGGCTTTATCAAGCTCCAATCGGCGCCCTCCTGCTTCGAAATGGTAACAAAGTCCGCGCCAAAGAACACGCCTCGAACGCCCTCCACGCGGAACAGCAGTTTGGCTAAGGAGAATTGATGCACATTTTAGTGTTATTCAAAGGGAAATGCCAATGCAATTTAGAGCACTGATTTTAATAAACAAAGCAGGAAAACTAATGTTTATATACCCTAGTAGCTATACAAACAGAAATAAGAAAGAAAATAACCGGTTAAAAACGATGCAAATCCATTACATATTTTACCAAATATTTAACTTTTGATATGGCTGCAAATTTGCTTTCTTTCTTGTTAAAAACCCAATTTTGATTTTGATAAATTAAGGTAAAAGTTGTACCACAACTACTATTTTGACCGCAGCTGTGTATGCTTTATAGGGTCGAATATGTCTGCCTCACTGCGTTACAAACGTGTGACCAAAATTATAATACCCCAATGTGCTAGGGTATACGAAGATCCCGTTGATTCCCACTCACCCAATGGACTGTTGTGGGTGGTGGTTCCGTTGGGAAAGTCGTAGGTGTTGCCCTTTCCCAGGACCTCCACGCCGGGCAGGAACTTCATGCTGTCCGGATTCGGGGTGTCCTGGGTCTGGATGAACATGCTCCTCCTGCCCGCCGGCGTCGTCTGCAGCTGCAGCTGCAGGAGTCCATGTCCATGGCCATGGTTATATCCCGCCTTCAGCTGCGCCGGTTCCGGATTGTTACGCGTGGTGGCGATGCCCGCAAAATTGCGCACCCTGGAGTCGAACGGAAATGGATTATCCACCGGAATAGGTGGCCTCAAGACCGGCATGCAATACTCACAACTGTCGCGAACCAAGGCGCGTGTTACGAAGCGTATTTAGAGCCGTTTGGGACAGGAATTTCGCCATCCTGTTTGCCTTTTGCGTTTGATAATGAAAAACTAACGAAAAATCAGCTGTCACTGTGCGGTCTGGCAACCCTGCTGCTAAAGGTGGGAAAATTGAATAGCCATTTAGCGATGACTCGAACCTTACCAACAAACCATACACTTCAACAAATTTGTTCTAACTTATTGAAGCAAAAACAGAATGGTCTGTGTGATAAACAAAATGAGATACAAAAAAAACGTTGATAAATTTTAGTTTTTTTGTACAAAAATTGTGTTTGCCTTTTTCATAAGCTAAAAAGCTACTTTTATTTTGAAGATTAACTAATTAATTACAGTAATGTTTTCTCAAACTAGTACCAACATGCGGACTCAGCTTCAATCGTGTTTAAACTTTTTATTTCTGGAAAGAATAACAAAATGATTGATTTATTTTTGTAATACTTTTATTTGTCTTTAATAGTGCATCCATACCCTCACTTAACGGCTGCCTTATCGCAAAAGTCCTAACTTAGGGGTAATTATACCCGAGACTATTTTTAAATGGGTGTAAAATAATGTTTCTAAATCTAGTAAAAGTCAAATAAAAAGATTACATTTTCAAATCATTTCTGCTCAACGGATTTAAGTTAAAAGATTTGTAATAAACACAGTTTTTGGATAATTTCTCAGGATTTTGGCCAAAAAAAAAAAATAAAACCGAGTTCAGAGTGTTCAGCAGTTCCTAGCCAAAAAAAAAAGTTTTTTCTTTGCGTTGATCTTTTTTCGTGTAAACTAGTGTTGTTAGTCATTAGTTTTTCTAACGCTAAAGATATACATATTTCTTATCTTTCGCATAACAAAACGTAGTTGCCTGCATGTAATTTCCGAAATATTATCTCGAGCAAATATGAATTGAAACGGCTAAATAGCTACGCATCTTTTGGAACCCGTTCTTTTAACCAGTTTGGTTAAAAGGCGTTGCGCATTTGACATTAAAAGCCGTTGTGAAAGAATAAGGCCGTTAAGCGTAGGTGCGTTTTGAAATAAATGCCTTAAGATGAAGTGTCGCCAAACGCAAAGTTCGTTCCGAACAGAGTGTTGCACACTTCCACGGCAACGTTGCGTCGTGCGATCTTCTTCGATCTGCCGCTGGCGGAAAACTCCTGGTTGTCCACCACGATTCCCAAATCTTGCATCACATTGGGCTTTTCGCCCGAGGTTCCATAGTCAATGTAATTGAGTCCCGGACGCATCTACAACAAAAAATGTACGCTTAGTGATTGCATGCTACCAAAAAGGTCGTCATAACTCACAATGCAAAGTATGGTGGCTGGATGCATGGTCTCCCAACCGGAAGGCAACTCGGTGCGCACCGGCGGCTTCTTGGGCTCCTTGGGCACCGCGGGAACTGGCTGTGCTGCTTCGCCACCAGCCGGTTGAACAGCATTTGCCGACGGATGCATCTCGGGCACAACATACCCCTCGCGCTCCCACTCGGCAAACAGTTTGTAGATGGCAAACGAGGCCAGATTTAGCATTGGCAGATCATCCTCCGGTGCGTCTGTCTCATCCTCATTGGTATCCATGGCCTCCGCAGCGTTTTCAGCGTTACTTGGCTGCAGCCTGGATGGCTTGGGTGTCATTTTTGCGATGATAAAGTCGCGCCAAGCCTTCTCGCAGGCCGCATTCTTGGCCGACATCTTGGAGAGACCCTTGCCCTCGTACTGATTTGAGTTCACTGTGACAACGGCCGTGAATCCGCCGTCGGGATTGCTGTCGATGGTGAAGTCGCTGATGGTCACGCCCTTCACCTCGTTGAGGGCCATCAGGGCGTTCTTCGGCAGCATGGATTTGCGCAGCTGGCGGTTCTGGCGCAGCTTCTTGTCCCGAGTGCGTTCTGGAAATAACAAAAACATATACATATATGATATAGAAAATGGGAAATCTGAAAATGTTTTCGCTTACCAGACGACTTCTTGCGCTTCTGGAAGATCTTCTTAAAGGGTATCTTTCCGCCGATGCCGTGGCCACTGCCATTCTCATCGCTGATGTCGATGGAAAACTCCTCTCTGGCCTCCGGTTCCTCGTTGGCCATCTCCGTCGGCTCCTCCTTGACGATAATGGGCATGGGCAGCTTGGCTGCCATGGCGGCTGCATCCGGCTTCTTGGACTGGACAGGCGAGGATGCCACGGCAGTGGGAACTGGGACAGGAGCCGGTGGCGGAGGAGGAGCAGCCAGCGAAGGAGCCTGATGCTCCTGGACATTATTATTGCCCTGCAATGGCGGTTGGATCAAGGGCTTGACGCTGGCACTGGGATTCTGGGTTTTGCAAAAGAGTTTCATTAGCTGATTAGTGGGGTGAAGGGAACGAGTTTTCGTCGCTTGATTCCCCTGGACAAAATCACTTGCAGCGGGCTAATCCAGTGTGCTAACAAAAAAGAGACTCGCTGGCCAACGGAAACCATCAAATCGTCAAGTTACACGGAAGTCTCAGGCTGCTCGGCTGGTATACTAAAAACCATAGTTCAGGAACTAGCCATGGCCATTTCTGCGACCCGAGTGCCCCGAAACGAAGCTCTGCACCGACGGAGCCACGTGCCCAGCCACTGTGGCTTCTCCGCTCATTGCATCCGACCAAGGACTCTGGATTGACTGACACTATCACTATGCAACCTATATTTCATTTTTGGGCAATGAAAATCCTTAAATTTTGATGAACCATTTAGAAAATATTTTAAAAGAAATTTTTATATTACTCTTCTCATAGAGAAAAATTAAAAATTCGCAAAAAAAAAAAAAAAAAAAAAAAAATTATTCATAGCACAATAAATTTTACTTTTTTTTATAAAATACATGATAAAACTCTTTAGTAAGAGTTAAAGGTTTGTTTACAACAATGCTGTAGCTAATATATCTAACAATCCTGTAAAAAAAAAGAAATCTCGAATATTTTCCAATTTGGCTAGGTTAGAAAAAGCACAAATCGCATAGTGTTGAATATTGATTGCCGCGGAGAAAAGGATCCTTCGGTCCTTGGTCGTGTTCATTGCCGGCGTCTCGTTTCGGGCACTTTCGGTGAAGTGAATGGGCATTGCTATCTGACGCAAAACTAATAATTTTATAGTTACAATTTCGGGTAAATGCATTTTCAGTAGCCATAAAAGTTAGCGATAACCGCAAGTCCAGCTTGAAACTATCGCAGTGCTGGCCATCTCTAGTTGTTCGAAAGCACGAGCAGAATGGAATGACTGGAATGTGTGTGGGTAGTGGGGTGAAAGGGGGGGGATGAATGAGGATGTTGGAATTCAACGGGATGCATTGTGGACTGGATGCTGGACTGCTGGTTGAATTCGGACAACGGTCTGCACTTTCGATTAACCCGCTTTTAGTGGCTATTGCAAATGAATTCACAATTGGGGTAGAATACACACACTCTCATATTGTGCGCTGCAAATTATAGAAATGAAAACGATATCTTGTTATTTCATAAAATCAAATATGCATGGATTAAACAAAATGGTTATTTTGCACGTCGATTTTCGTATTGGTTTTTCTATTTATTCACTTGGCGTAATCATAGCGTGACGTCACAGAGCTTAGAGTGCAGGCACTCAATACATACATACACACACTAGCAAAAACAACCAATCAATTTGCAATGCGGCGTTTTCTTGATGAAAAATAAAGGAGGAGCAATGGAAAAGCGATTTATCCAATGCCGAATTGATCGCTAAATAATGCTTACGTAAATTCCGCCGGAAACAAAAGATTTGTTGTTAGCTGCATTCGGACGACGAGCTCGCTTCATCTTGATTTTTTTTCTTTTTGAGTTTTATATTTCAACTTCACGTAGACAAATGAAGAGTGAGACCGTTGCTGAAGTGCCGAAAAATACCAGGGGTTTTGAGTGATAGGGACTAAAAAATGCCAAGAAACAACAGAGGAAATGGCCTAGTCCCACAGAGCACCATCCACCATCCCTTTCAAAGATGGTCCGTAAAAGCCACTTTCCACAGGAAATTTTATAATTAAAATTATTGAAATGAATGTATCAATCATTAATTCAAGTATATATGTGTAAGTATACATTTTTGGGAAAAAAAAATCTTTAGATAGACCAAAAAAAAACCCTAGACGTTTAATATGTTTTGTTTAGAAGGCTTCTAAATTTACGTTCACTAAATCACATGAAAAATTAACATACGATAATTGTCATTCTACTATTTACTAAAATTGCATGCATTTTTTATTTTTTGGGTCGTACTTAAAGCAATTAAAATTTTTTTTTTACTTTTTGGGCCTTTGCGTATATAAAAATTAAAAAAGTAGAAAAACACTTTTCATGTTTTTTTTTATTTTATTATTGTTTTACATATTATTTACTATTATGAATTGTAGTCTACATTTTGATAATAGTCGACATCTTTGTTCTGCACTATGAAAATGCAAGTAATATACATTTTTTTATAACAATTGTCAAATATTGATACGTTATTATTTCCTTGTATTCGGTGTTACTTTGAATCGTTCTTTCATACACAATTTTCCTAGGTGCGCTTTTTGAAAGCAGGAAGCGATTTATTACTCCTCGTATGTGAAGTTGGTTTCGAACAAGGTGTTGCACACACTAACGGCCACATTGCGACGAGCTATCTTCTTCGATCTTCCGTTTCCGGTGAACTTCTGATTGTCGACTATTACGCCCAGGCACTGGGACACATTGGGCTTGTCTCCAGAGCTTCCCATGTCCTCGTAGGAGATTCCGGGTCGCATCTGGGGATAGATTCGTTAATAAAAATATTGCAATGTTTTTAGTAACTTAAAACTAAGCTTCGTCCTGGTGTCACAGAATCTATTTTGATTTTCTTTAGACCTTATGATGATAGTTAAGCGTTTCTTTGAATATAATACTACTACCATTATATAATACATAAAATATTATACTTTAAAACCAATGAAGTTATGATTTCATAAAACGTAAAATAAGCTCTGGGACACCAAAAAAAATGTTCAGGTTAACCTACAATGCATAGAAGAGTGGATGGGTGCATGGATTCCCAGCCAGTGGGCAGATCCGTGCGGATGGGTGGCTTCTTGGGCTCCTTGGGCACCGCCGGAGCCAGCGATGTGGTTTCTCTTCCGGCTGGAACGGCAGACGGATGCATTCCCGGCACCGGGTATCCCTCACGCTCCCACTCCGCAAACAGTTTGTAGATGGCAAACGAGGCCAGGTTCAGCATGGGCAGCTCCTCGTCCTGCGACTCGGCATCGCTCTCGTTGGTGTCCATGGCATCGTTACCGGAAGCGCCGTCGGCAGTCACTTGACCGCCACCGCCACCGCCGGTCTTCTGCCTGAGACTATTGGCGGCCTTCATCTTAGCGATTATATAGTCGCGCCAGGCCCTCTCGCAGGCCGCATTCTTGGCGGACATCTTGGAGAGACCCTTGCCCTCGTATTGCTTGGAGTTCACCGTGACCAGGGCCGTGAATCCTCCGAGCGCATTGCTCTCGATGGCAAAATCGCTGATGGCCACGCCCTTCAGCTCGTTGAGGGCCATCAGGGCGTTCTTCGGCAGCATGGCCTTGCGCAGCTGGCGGTTCTGGCGCAGCTTCTTCTCCCGGATGCGTTCTACAACAAACAGAAATGGGACATGTAGTATTCTCTATAAATAAAAATTCATCTATATAAATATTGGTTATCCCATGGTTCGAACATAGCTCCACATAGAGGGTAAGAGTACAAGCAATGTCTTAAGGAATTTTCAAATATATGTTTGGAAGTGAAAGACTTGAAAAACAAAAGACTTTCAACTTAATTGAAACCCCTTAAACAGAATAAAATAAATAAACTTTAACAAAGCTGTTTAAGTAAAATTTTCTAAAATTATTTTTGGATTAGAAAGAATAGATTAAATCGTAGGAATTTGTAACTCAAAGACGCATAACCGATGTCACAAAATGATAAGTGGTATAATAATTTGGGATCATCAATTCTACAATTTTGCTTTATAAAGATGAAGGAAGATTTTATATAAATGAAGATTTGAGAACAGCATAGGAATCAACACCACTCTTTGCCGCTTTTAAACTTGTATGATAAACTTATTTTAGATAACACTTTGGTTTATCTTTTAAATTATTTTCCAAGCTCACCAGAAGACTTCTTGTGCTTCAGGAAGATCTCCTTGAAGGGTATCTTGCTATGGCGACCTTTCCCCGACCCGATGGCTCCATTGACATTCTCGCCCATTGCACCCTCCATAGATTCAGCTGATTCCGGGATCGGGCTTTTTTCAGTGGTGTCAGGTTCCGTGGTCTGTTTTTCCTCGACTGACGAGTCCTCGGCCATCGCATCCTTCATGATGGACATGGGCTTTGTGGTCGGACTTTCCGAAACATGAGTCGCAGTTGTCGCATTTGGATTCTGTTTTGGAAATAGGTTCTTTAGTCAATTGGTCAAAGGATTTTCTGTTTGGTTTTTTTTTTATTTGTGTTGTATTTCTGGAGGAAAAGGACTACGTGGAAGGGTCATCCAGTGTCTAATCTATCCCGGTAAACTCTCGTTCAGTAATCGAACTCCTTGTGCACGGCAATCGGGGATCTTCTACAGTCCCTCCAATGGAGGCTCGCTGGACCACTAAAAACCATAGTTCAGGAACTAGCCATGACCATTCCTACGACCCGAGTGCCCAAAAACTCTGTGGACTCGCCCGTCATCGCATCCGACCAAGGACTTTGGGATCTAGCAGTTTTTGAGTCTGACAATTTTACTTATATTTGTGCCGTGTAATCGGAATTTTTCTGATCAATTTAAGGAACCAATTGACAAAACGCATCAGAAAATTAAAAAAAAAAATTTAATTCAAAAATACTCTAAAAATCAAATATTTGGACAAATCTTTGGTGTAATTAATCTGAACAAGGTCTAATTAAAAATCCTACATTAATTTGTTATACAGGGCACCTTTAAATCTTTCAAAAGTATTAATTCAAATCTTAAAAAGAATCATTTTTGATATTTGGACTTGGCTAGAAAAAGTAGGATGTAAGGGGGGATAGGATGATCCTAGGGTCCTTGGTCTTTGATCGTTGCCGGCGTCTCGTTTCAGGCACTTTCGGTGAAGTGAATGGGCATTGCTATCTGACGCAAAACTAATAATTTTTTAGTTACAATTTCGGGTGAATGCATTTTCAATAGCCATAAAAGCTAGCGATAACCGCAAGTCCAGCTTGAAACTATCGCAGTGCTGACCATCTCTAGTTGTTCGAAAGCACAAGCAGAATGGAATGACTAAAATATGAGCGGTGGTGGGGTGAAAGGGGTGGATTGTGGATGCTGGAATTTAAAGGAATGCATTATGAATGCTGGTGGAATTCGGACAACCATCTGGTGCTGCACTTCAGATTAACCTGCTTTTAGTGGATATTGCAAATGGATTCACAATTGAGATAGAATTCTGCAAATCATATAAATGAAAACAAAGTTGACGTTAAAATAGAAATGAATTGAGGTAGTATGGTGAAAATTATGTGTAGCGTTGTTTATGCTTTCCAATGCATTTACGCATGTATGCAAGTATCTAAACAAAATGAGATGCAGTCCCAAAAACCTCAGTGGTGTACTTGCATATTTAAGCATAGAAAAATACTTCTACAGAGAACACTCTATTATGCAAACTTTTTTTTTTGTAAAAAAAAAAGAAGGGAAATTTGGGAAAAATTGTCGATTCGTATAATTATTTAATTCAAGATGAACAATAGAAAACAATAAGTTATAGATCATATTGTATTGTATTTGTTTTAAAATTAAAACAACAAAAGGGTTGTTCATTACACTTGGACCACTGTTCACTGATCGAACGTTCACTGTATAAATCCGGGACTTGCATCAAATTTTATGCAACGATCAATGAAAAACTTACTTGAGCTACGCCGGAAGCGTAGGCAGCCGAGGTGCGACGCAAACGGTTCATCTTTTCGATCTATTTTGAACCTAACTTGGAACGCAGCTAAATTCCTTACCGTTTTATGAAGCAAAATTCCTAAACTCCTTCACTAGAAAAAAAAACACAAAGTTATCGACATACATATTTACATGCTATCAGTGTGACCGTTGATTTTATGTTCTTTTAGAACCTTAATATGCTGATCTCACAGAGCACATCTCTCATAACTAATTCTCATTATGACGTTTTGAATAGACTTGCCGTACCAAATTATCCCAAAATATTAATACTAAAACAGGTGATAGTTCTTACCCTGCCCAAAGAAATATATAAAATAAGATATATTATAACCAACAAATTATTCGTCCCACTGTCTGTTCTCATTGCTACTATTTCCAAAACGCTTATTATAAGAATTTATTTTTATTTCAAACATAATTGAAAGTAATCGCTTTTCGCTGGGCGAAAAACGCACATTTTTAAGTGGAAATTAATGATTTGGCCAATAGCATTTTGGGGGGAAGCGTTTCGCCATCTGGTCACACTGTCCCTGGTACACGTAGAAAACAAACAGACCAGACGACGACGACGATTTAATCGACTCGATTTAAAGCAAAACAGGCGCAATGCAATAAGCCCCGTGAGTGGGACAGTTAGCAGACCCACCAGCTCCAGGATCCGGCCTTGCCACTTGCCCCCGATCCGCGCCAGAAACGGCTCCCACATCCGCATCCGGACTTAAGCCACGAGAGCAAGAGCACGGGCACGGGCACAGGCACGGCCAAATCCCCAGGAACGGTAGCAAAAACCGGAACACAAATGCTGGGCGGCAAGCGGACGGGGTCGCGGCACATTGCCGTGGTGGTGCTGATGTGCCTGTTCTGGTACGTGATCTCCTCCAGCAACAACGTGATCGGCAAGATGGTCCTGAACGAGTTCCCCTTCCCGATGACCGTGACCCTGGTGCAGCTGTGCAGCATCACCCTGTACAGCGGGCCGTTCTTCAACCTGTGGCGCATCCGGAAGTACCAGGACATCCCGCGCCCCTACTACTACCGCCTGATCGTCCCCCTGGCGCTGGGCAAGCTCCTGGCCTCCGTCACCTCGCACATCTCGCTGTGGAAGGTGCCCGTTTCCTACGCGCACACGGGTGAGTTGGTCGAGTTGGTTTGGCGGGCCAAACCAGTGATTCCCATTCCCAACGCCCAACACGTCAGCAGAATCTGCCTAATGTGTCTCAGATAGTATCAGTCTTTCGGGGAGGGGTACAACCGACAACATGGCTTGATATCTTTTAAACGATCAGAACTATAATGAAAAAAAAACACCTAAAAAGAACTGCAGACATGGACATTATGCTGTTCACATTAAAAGTATTATTCCGATGAAAAAGATTGATATCTATAAACAACAAATATTAAATTGAAACTGTGAATAATGGAAATTTAAAGTAGTTTTCTATTCAAGGATCAAAATTATGTTGAAAACGCTAAATAGAGTAGTGAATATTTATCATAATTGTAACTGATCACATTAAATGACTTTGACATTATGCAATATACATTATTATTATTATTCCTTTTAAAAAGATTAATGTCTTATTAAAACTTGAATAATCTAGAATAATAATGAGTGATCTATTTCTTGTTCTACACTATTTGTACTATTATTTAACGGTATGGAAGGAGGGATAAACCTGAGAGACTATTAGCCAGGCACTCCAAGAGTGGTACATTACCATAACTCTAATGATAAAACATCTAAAAAGCTTTTAAAAATTGTACTTTATTTCCCCTTTAAAAATATTATATTTATAGAATGATCAAAACTATATGGAATTAGGCATTAAGAACTGTGAATATTCTTTATAAAAAAGGTTTTTATATGTTAGAGTACTCTATAACTTTATAGTCTTTCTCTCCCCTGAGTACTTAATCAAAAAAATAATGAAATAAAAATTGTTTATGTATACCTAATGAATCTGTGGATATAATATAAATAATTTGAAATAAAGCGATAGATTTCAAGAGAGATACAGATACATAAGATGTGAGTTGAAGGTCTCATAGTTAAACCTTGTAGCTACCAATATTTTGACTATAAAATAACCTGCAACTCCATACTCTTTATCTCCACCTCCAGTGAAAGCCACAATGCCACTGTTCACCGTCGTCCTGACGCGCCTGTTCTTTGGCGAGAAACAGCCGACGCTCGTGTACCTGAGCCTACTGCCCATCATTACGGGCGTGGGCATTGCCACCGTCACCGAGATCTCCTTCGACATGATGGGCCTGGTCAGCGCCCTCATCTCCACGATGGGCTTCTCCATGCAAAACATCTTCTCCAAGAAGGTAGGAAGTGTTTGCTTAGCCAGTTGTTTAGCTTGTGTGGTCAGTTATTCAGTAATTTGTCTATTTCTATCTCATATTATCCACGACAGGTGCTCAAGGACACCAACATCCATCATTTACGGCTCCTGCATTTGCTCGGCAAACTGTCGCTGTTCATCTTCCTGCCCCTCTGGTTGTACATGGACAGCTTTGCTGTATTCCGTCACACGGCGATTGTGAGTAGAGCCTGTAAAAGGGCTGCAAGATCTGCAAGAGCTGCGGGCAATCTTATCTTCATAATTGGCTCTTACATTTAGATAAAGTTTTCGATAGGGGCATACTTTAATTAACAATAATCGGGAAAACAAGCTGGGAAACAAGGAAAAAGTATTGCTTTAATTCGAACATTAAAGCTATTGTATACTTTTACCTAAAACTAATTCTTCCCATTTTAAACGTTGAGCAGTCCACAAGTATCTCAATAATAACCATTTAGTGTTGGCCACGTTTCCAAATAATTTATATTGCTTATCGCACGCAAGTCTACTAGAAATATCTAGAAACACTTGTGTTTGTCTTCTTGTTTACTTATATAGTTTTAGTAATTGCAAACACCTTTCTGTTGCCTGTTTTCGTCCCTCAAAACATTTTGTCACATCAAAGCACTTGTGCAAATCAGTCAGAAAGCTTTTACTTTAATGTTAAATGTTATTGAAAAACTCACAAACTTATAAATAATAAAAATTAGGCCGATGGTAATGGCTAAAAATTGTTGCTGTCGTTTGGCAACTGAAAAATCATGCTGCGACTAAAATAGTTTTTTGAAAGGACTTCATTTCTTCCATATTTGAAGACGTAGTGTTGTAACTAAGTCTTCCCATTGAATCAAATCATGTCGGAATTTTTTAGAATTTTTTTTGAGAAGTTTTAATTTACCTACTGTTTTTTTAGGTTTTATGTTTACATATCTATAAGAAAGCGCAAAGCTGTAATTGAAATATACTCTTGGTTTGTGTATGGATATTGTACAGTTCAGATTTGTTGTTTAAAATATGAACATCACATTGAGAGCAATTCACTTCGTGTCAACTTTCTGTGACAGATTCGAACATTAAGTTGATAATGATAAGACAGTTTTATATCAAACAAGACTAAACATGATATTGAGATGTAAAACGCTTCCGAAATATAAATTTAACTCAAGTTTTGAAATGTAAATATAACAGACAAAGTAATGTAGGCTTATTTATTTTTTAATCATTGCTTCTCTTTGTGTTTTTTTTTTTTAAACCTTCCCAGCACTTACGAGTCTTTCCTTTTTTGCAGAAAAACCTGGACTACCGGGTGATTGCCCTGCTGTTCGCCGACGGCGTCCTCAACTGGCTGCAGAACATCATCGCCTTCAGCGTCTTGTCGCTGGTCACTCCACTCACGTATGCGGTGGCCAGCGCCTCGAAGCGGATCTTCGTGATCGCCGTGTCGCTGCTGATTTTGGGCAATCCGGTGACGTGGGTGAATTGCCTGGGCATGACACTGGCCATTTTGGGCGTGCTGTGCTACAATCGCGCCAAACAGATCACCCGCGGCCGGGAGCAGCCGACTCTGCCGCTGTCGCAGAACAGCAATGTGAAGTACTCGCCGCTGGCGCAGCAGTCGGATCCCTATTACCGGGGATCGGTCAACGGGAAGCTAACCAATGGGCTGCACAGGGCGCCCGGTAACAGCCTGCTGGCAAACGGCAGCGGAATGCCAAGCGGAACGGCCACGCGGCTGCTCTTTGTTTAGTTTGTAGTTAGTCAATGTATCCAATCCAATAGGCGGGAGGATGGCTGAGAAGTATTTACCCGTGACCACCAAACCATTTCCGACTCTCTTTCTATATGTATCGTTTAGTGCATATATTAAATACGTTTGACTAAAGAGGCACAACTCTAGATCTAAGAATATTAAGGACGAAGCAGGATTTTCAATTGCATATGAGCGGACTTGTAAATTTTTGTATTTCAAAATAATTGCCTCAATTTAAACAATCAACTTTTGAAATACATAGGTTTGCTGGTCATTTGAAATTGATGTCCGAGATGACGGTGCTAAAACAATATGGCTAATGATTAGTAATAACGATAGATTCACTGAATGGAATTGTCTTAATTGTAAAAACATCATTTTGCTGGAATATTTTACACACTCACTTTTATGTTATGTAAAAGTTCCAAGTCTCAAAATGACAAAAAAATTAAAAAAAAAAAAAAACTAAGAAAAAAAGACACATTCTTACACAAGGTGTATACAATTTGTAAGCTATGACATTCTTTTAGTAAATCAACTCGAAGATGAAAAATTTGGATGTTGTGCCGGTTGAGTCAAAAGTGAGTGATATATGTATTGTATTGTATTGTATGTTCAATCAGAATGCAAAGCAATGCTGTAAATTAAAATGTATTTTGATATTGTTTCGGAGGCGAGGCGAGCATGTAAATAGGTAGTTTGAGTCCCCGATTTCCATATCCCCCATATCGCCCATATTGCCCATCGCCCGCAAGTTTCGAATTTGTTTTTGAATTTGATTAAGCCGTAAAGTGTATTCAGAAAGCGAGAGTGCATGTTAAATGCCAAAATAAAACTGTTGACCATGTACATAGGCATAGCAAATGCAAATCAAAGTGTCTACTTCTTGACCTAACCTATTTGTTGTTGCAACTATCCAATCGATGGATTGGGTTTGGGATTGGGATTGGGCACCAGCTTGATCCATTCGTTGTCCAGCTCCTTCCGGTAGCCGATCCTTTGGAGCAGCGCCTCCGACCGCCAGTTGGTGGCCACTATCCAGGCCGTGAGGGTAACATCCTCGTCCCGGGCAATCCTTCGGGTCATCGCAGCGGCCAGGAGGCCACCCAGTCCACGTCGCTCCGCTTTGGGCAGTACTTGTAGCATTCTGAAAGCGAAAGAACATAGATTAATTGCATTTATTTTTTAGAATTTTTTCTATCATGATATAACACATTGATTTATGTACACTTTTCTTGTATTTATACAATTGTTTGCAGAGAAAATTAAGGCGATAAATTACTAAGTTAATAGAACAGTACAGGGATCAGTTTATATACCCTTGCAGCTATTGCAAAATTTAAATATTCTTAAAAACACTTAAATTTTGGTTTATATGCGTTTATGTTTTCAGCTCAAATATTCTATCTTTATTATAGCAGCTATATGATATCGTTTCCGATTTGAATTAAATTTAAACCGCTAATCTGATCAATTAAAAGAATTTTTTAAAAAAATTCAAAAATAGAATAAAAGTTACATTTTGTTTTAATTTATTTTTTAAATATTCCGATGATGTAGTTGTCCGATTTTAATGAAATTGAAACCTTAACTCTGAAATATTAAACTATCACTACATCTCAAAGAACTAAAAAAAAAAATTAAAAGAACAAAGTTATATTTTTGTCATATATTTTTCGTAGAAACGGACGGACAGACGGACGGACATGGCTAGATGCTGACCAGTGTAATATATATACTTATATACGAACCCCAAGCCGGAGAAGTCGTTCTGGAAGATCCAAGCAATCAGTTCGCCAGTGTCGCTCCGGCAGACTCCCAAGGATTTGTTGAAGCGGATGAGGGCGCGGAGGTAGGTGAGTGAACCCTCACCCTTGTTGGGCCAGTTATCGTGCACCATGGCCGCATCCTCGTCCCTCAGCCGTCGGATGTCGAACTCGGAGAGCAGCTCCGGAACTTCCACAACCGCTGCGGAGTCACGGGGCAGAACCATGCCGAAACACTGACGCGGCTGAATGGCGGTGACACCGCGTTTCAGGGCCAGCTCCTTGATGCGCTCGCAAAACGGCAGATCCACGTTGGTCAGCAGGGCGCCCTGGGTCCACTCGATGAGCCGGGTTTGCTCCAGGCACTGCCACAGCTCCGCAGCCCCGTCCGGTTGCCAGCTGAAGAAGGAGACGCTCTGCACGATGTCCCGGTGCAGGCTCACATAGGTGCCCCACCGGCGGAAGTCGCCCCTGCGATGGGTGTAGAACTGCTTCCTCAGGGACACGAAGTTGGGATCATCGCGCGATATCTGGGCCTCGTCCAACTGGGCATCCCACTTTCGCTGATTGTAGATCAGCAGGTAGTGGAAGTTCCTCACACCGAACTTGGATCTATACAGATCGAGCAGTTCGTCCACTTCACCATCGCTAAGTGGCCGCAAGATATCGCTATCAGTGTCCACCATATCATCGATGCCCATCGCCAGATCCTATAACCAGTTATCACAGATATGTATCTGTCTGTCTGCCGATTTTAATTCACTTTTTGTGTGGCTTCCCCGACTGCCTGCCGTCCGACGACTGGTCGAGGTTCATTAAAGCTGACCGCATAAACACGTCGCCAGCGATTCGCTAGTTCTACTACTTAATTCTAATTCAGCTGATTAGATTTCTCTCGTTCGACCAGGGTCGGATTTCAGGAAACGAAGGCAGTGAAAGGAGGGGCGCCAAAAAAAGCCTCCTTACCGGAAGAAATTTCTTTTCTTCAAAATAAAATAAATATATATATATATTTAAATGATTTAGTTAAGAGATTTACTTGGTAAATATTCCTGGACACAGAATAATATTCATTGAAAATATGTAAATATAAAAAAAAAAATTTTGTTTCAGTGAACAATATTTTATTTGAATCTAAGGTAGGTACTCAAAGAACTTACTATGATAACGTCTGCGGCTTTAAAATTTAACTAAAGATTTTTTGTTGATATTTATTAAGCGATTAGAAAGTAATTGGTTTTATTTTAATCTAAAGTAAAGTAATAAGAGTTAAATATTTTCGATATAAAAAATATTTCCGAACGATAGTAAAAAACAACATTCAATATCTCTTAATAATATAACAAAATATATACAAAATAAAGAATAAACAAAAAAAAACAAAGACTAAATAATTGAACAAAATATTAAACTTGAAGTAAAAAAAATTATAATAAGCTTGTCACTTTCACTTTTTTTAAGTTTACATACTAAGACTAGTAAAAATAAACAATAGTTTATTTCTATATACTGCAAAGAGCAAAACAATAATACGAAAAATGGAAAGTGGTGTGAAAATGCCTAGCAACGGAGTTGGCTTTGCATCTTGGGACTTACTATTATTTTCTCTTTCAACACACTCGTCAATATGGTGCTCAGTAAGTTTAAAATTAAAAAAAAATATTTCTTTAGTTTTAACTGATCAAATATTATTACACAGTCACCGAAGAGCTGGTGCGCAAGAAGTCGGAGCACAATGAACGCCTAATCAGCACTCTGGAGGAGATCTCGTTGCATCAGGAGGACATCGAGGTGATAGAGCACATCCAGAACTGGTGTCGTGACCTGAAGATTCTGCTCCTCCAGTCCAACCTCATTGGGCGCCTGGAGAACTTGCACAAGCTGAAGCGCTTGGAGTATCTCAATGTGGCCATCAACAACATAGAGAGGGTGGAGAATCTCGAGGGCTGTGAATCGCTGGGTAAACTGGATCTCACCCTAAACTTTATCGGGGAACTGACCAGTGTGGAGTCGCTATGTGGCAACCACAATCTCCGTGAGCTAATACTCATTGGTAATCCATGCGTGGATTATCCCCACTATAGGGAGTATGTGGTGGGCACTTTGCCGCAGCTGAACAGTTTGGATTGTGTCGAGATCACACCCTCCGAACGCCTCCAAGCATTGAGGGAACTGGCCAAGAATAGGGCCATCGTCGTCCAGAAGCAGACGGATCAGGCCATAGAACGGGATGAGCAGCGCATCCGGGTGGCGGAGCAGCAGTCCGCTTTGGCACAACACTGTGCCGGCATCGACGATGAGGAGGAGCGCATTAAGGCCTTCTGGCAGGCCAAGAGCGAGCACTGTCCGGAGATTCGCACGGAGATCGCCAGGCAGCATCGATTGGGCCGGGAGCGGCATGAAACCAAGTCAGCACTGGATCCACCGAAGCGGGAACGCAACCTATTCGCCCCCTGCGGCAGACCCTACAATCTCAACCAGGGCAAGCTGCCCTTCAACTTCCAGGACGAGGCTGATCACTATCTCCTCCAGCTGGAGGTCTACAGGTGAATCAAGAAGTAACGATCTTTGGAGCAAGATCACTGAAATTAACCCCTTAACTTGGAGTTCCCCTAGTATAATTTCAGTCAAAAGCTTACAGTGAAGAGTCAGTGAACAAGACATTTTCGACCATATTAAGTATATATATATTCTGGATCAGCATCACTAGGAGAGTCCGTCTGTTTTTTACGCAAACCATTATTTCAGTTTTAAAGCTATTGAAACATTCTCAAAAGGGTTTATATTTGATATATTTGTTAATTACCAGTGTTGGGGTTTACCTAGATACTTGTACCTAGGTACACTTTTTTTTATACCTTATACCTTACCTAGGTGAAGATTTTTAGGTAGTGAAATATATATTTTTGATTTCAAATTAGCTGTATACTTTATCTGTGAGCATAGGCGAAGGTCTTGCTGGCAGAGCGCCGGCAGAGGCCGACACGAACAGTATAAAATGCACACACACTGACAAGACTTGCAGTGCAAATTACTAACACAACCTTACCTTATATAGATCCAAAAAACTAGTACCTTTCCCAACAATGCAAATTACTAATATTCAACTAAAAAGCTTCTTAACTTATACGTTTTTCGTTTTCAAATAGAAAATGCTTTAAAATAATATGTACTTCCCTTCAGACACCTAGATACTTCTCTAATTGATGTGGATGTACAGACCAATTACACTAGAGTCACGGTCAAGAAAAAGATCTTCCAGATCGCCTACAATGAGGAGGTCAAGCCGGATGAGTCCACAGTGCAGCGTTCACAGATCACGGGTCACCTGATGGTTACGCTCAAGAAACTAAAGGTCAACGAACTGCTGACCACCAAGAAAAGTCAGGGAAAAAGGTAAGTTTAAAGAGTATATAAACTTAATACTCAGAGAATCAGCTCCGAACTAGAGCTTGATCTGTTTGTCTATGACTTTGGAATCATAAGTCATGGAGTCATGGAATCGACAAGCAAATGCTCCTGTCATGAGCTATGAATCTTTGAAAAAAAAAATGTTTATCAAGCTCGAACAAAAACCGTTCAAACAGCTCATGTCAAATATTTTTGGTTAGACAACAATACGTTTGAATTTATAAGCTTCTTTTAAAAATTGAGACTATGATATTGAGATAAGTTTTTGATCAGATTGCATTGATCACATGACATTTCAGATCGAATGATAGAGCTTCTCTAGTCCTTGATTGCATGAGCTTATGATTCCAATAATTAATTAACTTATTTATATTATTTATAATATGCCTATTTTTTCAGTTCTGCCCCTTCCGATACCGAGAAAATGGCCGGAAAACAGGAGGAAAAACTACGTGCAGTCGTGGACATCAGTAACATTTGTCCACCCGCCGATCTTCCCGATTTAATTTGAGACAGAGTTCATTATTTAAAAATGGTTTATTTAAATATTTGTTTGTTTTGGTTTGTTTTCTCCAACTTTTCGTCTTCGTTCTTCTGTTTTGTTTGGTTTTTGTGATCCATCCATCCATCCATCGATCAATCAATTAGCTTTCTAGTAACCTCTTCAGCCTGATCGGATGTCTATATATACGCGCTTGTGTGTGTGTAAGTGTGTGTGTACATATACATTACATATATAAATGTTACATATAACGTAAATCGGATAATGCAATAATGAGAACACAAATGAAGAAAAACAGATACAAACTGGAGTATATCATATCCTAACTTGGTTTTTCGATTATGTTTGTTACGGAAACCGTGTCATGCCAAATCAATGGAAATGTCTCTGATCGATGGCTATAAACGTACAAATATCAAAAGGATTCAATTCGATTCGATTCGATTTCAGTGTTTTACTATTCTGTGGCTGTGTGGGGGTGGTGATTTGATTTGATTTGGGTTTGGATTTGGGTTTGGGGCCTCTTAATGGCTATACAAAATCAGGGCCTAAGTCTTGTTCAAAAGTTTTTACGGCTTTAGATTGTTGGTTTTTCGTTAAAAAGTTGTTTGCCTTTCATGCTGTATTTACAATACATGATCATCGGGAATATCGGTATTGCTATCGCTTTCTGTATACATATCTATATATATATATAAGTTGTGAATTGATATAAATTACAAGATACATAAAAAAATTGATTCAATTTTATTTGGATAAGTCGCCTTTGTCCTGTGGAAAGCATGGGATGTGTGGTTGGGATCTGAGATTATTTATGGAGGGTCCTGTCTTATCTGAAATGATCATAGTTTGTTTATGTTTTTGTTTATGTTTCGTTCGTTTGTTAAATGGATATAGCAACAATCTTGTATTCTCTCTCGCTCATATATTTCGGTATTTGTTTTTGCTTTTGCTTTTAGTTTGTATCTTTAAATAGTATTGTATTCTAGCTGTGTTGTGTGCAGTTTGTTTTTCCGTTTTTTTGTTTTTTCGGTTTTATTCTGTAGTATATGTAAGTATTTTCGCTTATCTATTTAATTCATTTCGTATTTTGTTTGTTTTGCATTCGCGTAAGTCCATGGTTTTGCTTTTGTTTTTCTTTCTCTCTTGTTTTTTGTTGGTTGTTTTCCGTTTTTGGTTCTCATACAAAAATTGAACAAAGTAAAAATATTTCGAAAAAGCGTTCTTGCTGTCTACTTTCTTCGCCTCATTTTTTTTCCCTCTAACATATGTATTGATGTGGCTGCTGCTGCTGCTGATTTGGCCAGACTCAAAAAATTGGTTAACAACATTCATGGTTGAAAAAACGAGGTAGGACATTGTTTGTGTGTTTTTTGTTTTTTTTTTTTTCATTCTCATTTTTTTTCATATTTCATTTGGGTTTGCATAGTTGAGATTTAAGGGGTTATATACAGTTAGGATTTTCAAAAAATCTATTTTTTCACATTTACTTTCTTAACGTAAATATCGTTCCGATGAATATTTTCGAACACGCAAATTTTAAAAGTCGTTTCAGAGCGCTTGAAAATTAAAATTGTGTTTTCAAAGTCGGTGACAAACATTATTCGTAAACGGCTAAACCGATTAGTCTCAAATTTTAACACGAGCTTCTTAAATATATTTTTAAGTTATTAATCGAACATTTTTTTTCCACAAAGTATTTTTATAAGCAATTTAAGGCGCCTTTTTTGAAAGGAGCTCCCGGAGATTAGCTGTAGCGTTTTTCCAAATAAATACGTTTTCCAATAATTTAATAAGTCTTAAACTATAGTTAAAATATAACATATTATGTGTACAAAATGTCAGATAAATAAATTTTGAAGTTTGCTTTTTTTTCGGCCTACTAACTGTATATAACTTCTTAAATGAAATAAAGCGCATCAAATCGATTGGGGTTTTTGGGGGGAGGTGGCGGTCTTGTCAAGTGTGAAATAAACTACAATTAGAAATACATATTTTGGTTATACCTTATAAACTTGACTTACATACTTGTATAATCAACTAAGCTAAGAATTCTAAAATACATGATCCATCTCCATCCTTTTCCCATTATATCCCTCCCTCTCTCCTTCGCTCTCGCTCTTGCTTTCACTTTCACTTTCGCCTTTCTTCTGATCTCTCTCTTGCGACACAAAAAAAAAAAAAAATTAAAGAGACTGCGTTTCCGTCTCCTAATTACCAACAGCAAGTGTGTGTTTTTGAGGGTGGAGTGTGTGTGTGTGTGTGTGTGTTTTCTTTTCCTGTTGACTGTGCGTTGTTCAGCAATGGCAGCCAGTTGCTACAGCCAGGGACCAGACCAAAAAATTGACTCTTAGACCCGCAGGATCTCGCACGCTTTGTTGTAGCAAATGGCTATCCAGTCGGGCTGGGTGGCGCCCCACTGGATCTGATTGACTTCGCCCTCGGCAGCTGTATAAGCTAAAATTGGATCCTCGATTGCGCGTGGCATTTGTTGTATATCCCAGATCAGTGCTTGGTGATCATCACCGGCAGTGCAGATGTGACAGGAACTGAAATTTGCAATGCAACATTTGTAGTTCAACTTGTAATAGCTAAACGACTAAGTTCCATGGGTGACGACTGACTTACCTATGCGGCGCCCACGCAATACCGTTGACGCACGCTCTGTGATTGCTCAGTCTTGCAACGGGTGTACAAGGAACACGAACATCTAAAATAATAACTTCGCACGAGTCCATGGCAACTGTGGCTAAATAGTTCGGGTCCTGTTTGTTCCAGGCCAAGCGCAGCAGCGCCGTGTGGGCAGGATCCTTAATTGGTTGCACAAAAAATTAGGTTAAAAAGACATAATAACATTACAACATAAAATACTATAATAATAAAAAACTACATGCATTTGGCTATGCTAACTGATATTCGATTAGAGAATAACAGAATCCCTTATTTGACAAAAAATACATTTTTTTCTGTTACTACGGTTTGGATTTTGGCTAAAGAGCAATATACTAAACATAAAACGAGATAAGTTCTAACTCAGACTATATTAATAGATAAATTATAAATAAAGGTTTATCCGTTTTCCGTTTTGTGTGTGTAGCAAATGTACCTCACTATGATTTATATGCGAATTTTGTTTGTTTTTAATTATAATATTGACCAAAAATGGCATTTTAAATTTAGGTTGAATGATATAAATAAAATCATACATTTTATGGACAAAAAGTCGAGTAGCCCACCTCTCCAATACATATCAAACTAAAATGCTAACATCTCTAGCCCACAATGATAGTGTAAAACTATAACTATAACTATTAACTCACCTCATAGATAATAGTCGAGTGCTCCAGATGCCGTAGATCAAACATGCGCACCGATCCGTCCGCTCCCACAGAGGCAAACATGTCCCGACCGCCGCCTGCCCGCGAAAAGGCAATGTCGTAGACCTCCTTGTCGTGGGCGATGAGCTGCGTCTTCACGTGTCCCGCCACATAGACGCGGGCGTGCGGCTGTCCAGTCTCCAGTCCCCAGATGGTGCAGGTGGTGTCTATCGAAGAGGTGCCCACCAGATTGGGATCCACCTCGTTCCAGTCGAACGATGTGAGCGGGGCGCAGAAGTCGCTGTTCTTGTTGTTATTGAGCACACACTCGAGTCGCGTGTCCGGTTCGCCGGCACGCCACACCCGCAAATAATCACCGCTGGTGGCCAATAGATCTGGATAGACGCCCTTGGAGTCCGGGATCCACATGATCTTGGTTGTGGGATATGGATGGTCAAAGGTGCTGGTTTGGGAAAGAGCAAAGCAGTCGGTAAAAATGGGGATTTGCGAGACAATAAATGTTTGAAATAATCAAGTTCCTAGAATACAGTTCAAAGTAGTTATTACTTAAATGTACGATATTAATATGTGATATTATTTATTCGTTTATATTGTTTTGAAATTATTTTATATATTTTATGATATTTAATTTAAAATAGTATGTATTGAGTATTATATAAAAATACTTCACTTTTTAAACGATAAATTAAATTAGTTAATATGTCAGTGATGGTAATTAATCTTTGAATGTGAATGTAAAGGGTCTGGTTATAGAGATTTATATATCCACGAATTGTGGCTCTTGGACTAGCAATATACCTCTTCGCACTAAATTCGCTGGTGTCCTCGTCCAGGCTGATGATCTGCACCTTGTTGTTGTACTCCTCGATGAAGCTGCCCAGTGCGAGCCGGAATCGCTTGTCCGGCCGGACACTCCAGTTCATGGAGTACAGTGGCCATGGTGCGAGATATTTGTAGATCTCCTTGCGCTTGCCGGCGGTCGATGACATAACTGTGGATTGCAGGGATCAGCATTAAGCATCCATTCTGCATACAAGCTTAGGATCGGGATTCGGGGTATGAGGATCTCGGGATCGGTATCGGGAATAAAAACCCACCTGAACTGTGTGATGGGAAACCCAGATCAAGGCGAAGAACAGGACCAGGTGACGATATGCTGGCGGACGATTACCCTCAAGGCCGTTTCGCTGGTGGGTGGTTGTGGGTGGCTGGTGGCTAAATGACGACGACCTCCGTTGATGATGACGATGATAATGATGATGATGACTGATAATGATGACCACTCAGAGCAGCGGACAACTCAAGAAAACGTCATGGAACGGGAAACAAAGGTCTTCTCTGGCCACTCGCATTTGCACACTTTTTCCGGCTGGGCTTGGCTGGGCTGGCTTTTCCTATAGCATCGCCTTTTTTCCGAAACCGAAACTCACTTCATTTTTGTTCTCTGGCAGTGTTGCCAGCTCGGCCGTTTTCCGGCTAAAATCCGTCCCTTCGCCGGCGAATTCCGGCCAAATCGAAGACCGGAGACCACAGATCGGAGTATCTGGAGTACAACCAATCAAAATGGCATGCGAATCAATCCAACGGCGTGCACATTTCGGCCGCAATGCGTCTGTTCGGCTTGGAAATGTTTCCGTTCCCGGTACTACGGAAAAGTTGGCAACACTGAAACGTAATGCGACGCGACAATTTGTTTTGTGCGGCCTTTTTTGTTTGCAATTGGTGTGCGATTTACGTCGTTGGCTAATGCAACGGTCAAAACGCAAGGCAGGTGCGGCACAGAGGCGGTTTCGAGGTGTTGCGGCGCGGAATTGTTGGTCTAAAAACTTTTAACAGAATCGTTTTCGCCAGAATTTTCACACAAAATCTAGAGATGTCAGAACGGATAAGCCGTCGACTGCACCTGCGATAGTATCGATATTTTTAAGGATTCCGCTATCGATGTTTCTTGTTTTAAAACATATTTTAAAATTAAAATTTTTAATTTTAACCGAATCAATTGGCAACAAACTATATTAAACTTAAGTCATTCAAGCCACCAAAAACGGACAGGATTTGAATTCAAATTCATTCATATCCAATACCATTTGAAATAGGTTTATCTTGGGTACAAGAATATATAAGAGCCTTTTACCTCACACAGGTACTAATTTTTTCTTACCTTGATAATAAACTTCACTAGGCACCGTTTATAGCCCAGTCCGCCGGGCCAAAATTTTCAGTTATTCCTTAACGGTGGAATTAACGTTCCTTACCGCACGTTTCTGGCCGATATTTAGCCGATGTTTTTTCGGCGCATCTCTTAAGCGCGAATTTGAATTGACATGTTTCTGTGAACCAGAGGCGTAGTTTAAAATTAAGGGGGTTTGGGAGGTTAACGCTCCTCTAGGCAGCAATTTAAATACATAGTAGATAAAAGCCATTTCTTAAAAGTTCAGATAATCATTCAACAACATAGCAATAAAGTAAAATAGTAGCCGAAAACAGGTCTTCTTAAAGATTATATTTTGTAACGGCATAATTGAATTTTATGTTAGGAAACGACGAATATTAGGCAGCGCTGCGGCAGAGGTATAACAGAGTAGAGATGGGAAAACATCGATGTTGCCCCGCCAAACATCGATGACTCGATGTTGGCATCGATGTTTATGCACCTGTTCCAGCTCTAGTGCTGGTGCTTTCGCCGTGCGGTCACACTGGCCAAAATAAAAAAATTCCGATTAAAAAGTGAGTGCTGTGCTGTGATGAAAATTGCCTTAAATCGGCCGAAAAAAAAATATTTTTCGATGTGAAACGAGGCTGGCGCCTGGTTGACATCGAAATTTGTAGGCGAACGAATTAGAAACGGTTTTTTCGGCCGCGCGACCTCGTTTGCCTCGTGATGTTCGTTTTGCGGTCAAATTTTCTTCCCTTTCCCCCGCTCGTTTATATTTCAGTGGGATTTCATACATAAATTTTTTTTTTCTATTAGCCGATTTTTGAAAAAATTCACAAAAGCCGTCGTCGTCGTCGTCACTTTTCCACTTTCCATTTTGAGAAAGATATTTCACTTTGCGTAATTCGTACGCTGGCCGTCGTGTGTTTGTGTGTGTATGACTGTGTCGCCAATAGTGCTATCTTGCTCGCCCGCATGCTCTTGTCGCCGTTTTACTACTACTCCTCTCTCTCCCCCTCTCCCTCTCACATTTCACTGTCAAACATGCGCGCGTGTGTTTGTGTGCGCCTTTTATAAATAGAATTTCATTTCGTTTCGTTTTTATATTTTGTTGTTGGTTTTATCATAATTATTTCGATTTTTGACGTGCTTGGGATGTATGAATTTTTTATCCAAAGAAAGCTATTAAAACGTGGTAACCGTGGAAAAAGTTCAGCTGCACCTGTGTTGAGTGTGTGTTAGTGTGTGAACTTGAAGAATTTCATTTAGTTTTGTTAAGTGCGTGTGTGTGTGTGAATGGGTTGTAGTTGTAGTATTTTATGAACGAAAGATCGATTCGTGATAGTGTGGCCATTTTATAATAGTTAAGCCTACCGCCACCCACACAAGCACAAACATGTATGGAAAAAGCAACGGTTTTCTCGTAGGGGAACGCAGACTGCCTGGCGGCACACACATACTTAACTTCATTTTTAGTGTTACCGCATAAGGCCAACCACCCCCACCCCTCTGTTGCTGTTGTTGTTATGACAAACTTGAAAAACTTTTTTCTATTTATTATTATTTTGCAATTGTAAACAAGTGACGCAGCCAGCTGATAGGTTTCCATTTTCCGCCTAACTGTTTATTATTCTCAGGGGCAAAGTGAAGGCCGAAACTGCCCGAGATGTAAAATAAAACAAGCAACTACAACTCTTCTTAGTGTTCTCAACGCTTAATTAATTGATTATTGAGCTTGTGTGTGTGCGAGTGCGAGTGCTGCGTCGGCAAAAAAAAATCAATCCAGTGGAAGGGATGAGGAAGAGCAAGAGTTCCCCTCGATAAAGACTCGTATTATCCTTGGAATCCCCCAGAATTTAAGATAACCTTGCATTTCATAGCCTTCACTTCACCACTAATGTGTATGTAAATAACGCTTAAAAGTGGAAGGCCTTGAAATGTATTTCCATTATTCAAAGCATAAAAGGAAACTATCTTAAATGATTGCCAAACAGCTGTTTAGCGTAACTGCTTTATTTTAAACAATTTTCATTTAAATATTTAAAACTTAAGTTTAAACTTTTTGAAAAGTCTTAAATACCTAAATTTAATTTGGTGAATCATACAAATTATTATAAATATCGTATCCAAAATATTAAATTTTTATAAAAATACATATACATTTATTTATTTAAAACTGTGCTGTGTGAAAAACTGTAATTTCACGAATGTGCGCCTAAATGTGTTTTTATTTTTGAAACCATTAATAGAGAATAGATAGCTTTGTATTTATTTAGGCTAGTTGTTGTATAGGTTTTCAACTGAAAAAAATCAATTTTAAAGGCCATTGTAATTATACTATACAGGAATATACAGATGTTATCACTAGATAAACTAATGTTTCTTTAACTGTTTTTCTTTCCAGTTTTGCTTACAGCTTTAGCAGCAACAAGAACGGGTCTTAGATGTAGCACATAAGCAGCAATTAAGTTTAACACTAAACTAAAATAATTCAATGATAATGTAAATAAGGCGACGCAGGTGGGTAAAGATATATTAAGAAAATTAAATTTGACATTAATGCAACTGAAATTGCCCAAATTGTATAGCACGACGAAACATAGAGGAAACGGTAGCGAGAACAACAGGAACCAGCCGCTCAGCAATACCGAAGTGCTGCATTAAGAACTAATTAAGGACACTCTCGACTTCATCCAGAACCTGGGGTTAGATCACTGCCGCTGCTGCCACTAATATGCGTGTAATTGCGCCGCGTAGATCGTCAACGTCAGCGGCGGGCAGCGGCAGTCTCTACGGCACATCGTCGGCCGGCACCAGCGGCAACGCCACCAGCGGTAGCTCCATCAGCCACCACATCAGCAGCTCCAGTAGCACCACCACCGGCAGTGGTGGGGTGGACCGCTCCAGCGGAGGCGCCACCACGAACGGTTATTCCCGCTACTCAAGCAGCTACGATCGCGGCAGCAGCCTGTCCAAGTGGCTGCCCACCTCGACAGGTGGCTCCAACTCGACGTCGGGCTACGGCAGCAGCTACTATCCCAGCTCGTATTCGACGTACTCCGCCAGCAGCGGCTCCTCCTCCAGCCCCTCGTATGCGCCGCGCTCCAGCCTGCAAAGGAGCAGCGTTGGGTCCACCTCGTCGTCGTCGTATCTGAGCGGCGGTTCCGGCACCAGTTCGTCCGCCTATCGCACCACCTCTTCGTATCTGAGCGGCTCCAGCTATGATTCACCTACGTACAGCCGATACGGAGTAAGTTTTGCAACTATCTCTACAGATTTACCTTGATTTACGATACACCCATCCAAAATTGCGGTCGATTACTCTTAAGTTTGGTGGCTGATCTCTCGGTTTTCAGTTATATTTCTATACGATTAAGAATCCTGTATGCTGGGCCCTTGGTATAACTCTACTCACCGCTACCCAATCCCCCGAAAACATCATGCGTTACGTATCTGCATATTTGAAGAAGTCACCTTTCATTTAAAAGGTCTCCATCGTCTATGTACAGTAAAAGCTCGCTAAATTGGTGTGAAGGAATTTAACTAGTAGTAGGACTGAATTGGACTGGAATTAGATATTTTTTAATTTATGTTTTATGTAGAATTTTGTATGTTGTATTACCAATATTAAGATCTTTTAATGCTGCTTGTTATATGCAGACTTACTTCCTTTAAGGAACTCAACATTCGCATCAAACATGTGAAAAACCTTAATTTCCTTAAAATATATTACAAAAATAAACAGATTATTGAGCTCACATGAAAGTTTTATAAATATGTGAAATTCTACTTTCCGGAGGATAAAAAGCTGGGCTTACCGGAGTCACTTAAAATCCTTCACCCAATTAAAGAGCTTCAATTGGCATCTCCATCGTAATGCGTATATCTGTATTGTCAGTTATAAGCAGCTCCAATATTCCATCAGTTGGTAACCCGCTTTCGGTTATTTGCATTCGATCCCAAGAATAAAACCCCACAACAGACTACATTCACTCATGGCTCATGGTTCATGCGACCACGCCCCGATTTGTGGTGATCCCTTTCCCGTCCCAAAAACTTCACCTCGCCCCACTTTGAAACCCGGTCAAAATACTCCCTATTTTCCCGCCTCGTTTTGTGTTATTTTGGACCTTTTGATTGAACTTAGATTATTTAATTTTGGCATTTTCGTTTTGCTGATTCTTTCGTTTGTGTTTCTGTTTGTGTTGTATTTTGTCATTGCAACAACGATACACAAACCATTCAACTTAAAGCACCCACCCACCCATGCACACCCACATGAATGAAGACAAACACTCACGCACTAGGCAAATAGGCAAACATCGTGTGTATGTAGTTAAACAGAGGGACAATGCCGCATTTTATACCTGCGATAACGGACACCGCTACTGTGATCGCTCTTTAATTCAAACTTGCGCGGATTCAACAAGCTTTTTAAAGTAAAATCTACTTTTTCAAAAATATTAATTTGATAATTAGCATAAAGGAACGCTATTTTAAAGTCTCTTGACTATCTATGTTTATATATTTTTATGGATAATTTTCAAATTTCTCTGCAATCCAATTTTATTGGTCTGGTAAACCGCTCAGTTAAAAGCGCCATCTGCTGGTAAATTTGAAAAACATACATAAAGTCATATTTATCTGCTGGCGTTAACTTTATTAAACTTGTAATATCCCTTGACAGAGCTCCCCGATTTGTGTTTTACGCCATCACCAGAATCAGCTTGTTTACTTTCCGATTTTCAATATCTCAACGTATTTGAGATCTCGACGCTCATATAGACAAAAATCACTAGATTAAGGCGGCTTATGATCAATAATAACCATTTTTTTAGCAGGGATATAAAGGGGATGGTTTATGATCCGATTTATAAATTCGACTTGATCAAGATGTCGATTCTGAACAATCCGTGGTGCTTCAGAAATCTTGTCCAATCATATTTGGTTTTAATTGTTTTGGCAAAGAGTTACAGGCGGAGCTCTTACCCTAGGTATTCTTTATAAAGTAGTTTTCACTGTAGACCCATTGAAATGTATACAAACATAGCCAGATGCGTCATTGCCCAGGCACATTTGCAGTCACATCCACATTCACAGTCACATTCATATTCACAGTCACAGTCACCGTTAAATTCACAGTCACATCCCAGGCCACATTCACATTCACACCCATAGTCCCAGGAATGGAATGCGTGCGTATGTGTGAACTGAGCTGAACTGAACCGAGCTGCGAACCACTTGTTGGCACAGATCCAATAACAAATAAGACAACAACCGAGTGACAACAACTAAAACAACAGGAGTGTAGCAACAAAAGGCCACAACACCAACAATTGTGTCATTCTCATCCTCGCTCCCTCTTTAGCCCCCTTGAAAATTCGCAATAAGGTTAATGCAATGGCGCTATCGCTGTCTTTGCTTGCTTGTGCGTATGCGTGTACGGGTGTGCAGGTGTGTGTGTGTGTTGCGTGCCCCCAGAGAACACCACATGTGAAGTTTACTATATTTAATTTTTTTTTTTTTTTTTTGGGGTAAAGGTAAGCAAGAATAAAAAAAAACAATCGGCTTTCCGTCCTCTTGACATTTCACACTTTCAGTCATAACTTTCGGTTAACATCTGTTGTTGTTTTGTTGACAAGAACTCGTAGGTGCGGAAAGTACTATTAGCGCACTAATTACAAGTTTCAAACGCACCATTTACAACGGAAAAGTTCTTTTGAAAAGATCGCTTAGATTTGGAATTTTAATCAAATTCTTAGCACGAGTTAAGTATTTTTAACTGATACTTAAACATCTGGGTTATTTTTTTTTCAATTTAAAACAAAGTTCAAAATTGAAACCAGAAAAGTGACTTTTGTGTAATTTATAATATTTTGATTTTATACATCGAATTTTAATTGTGACAATGTGTGTGATTTAAACAAGTTTAAACTTAGACGTTGGAACAGACCTTTTTTAAATCAAACGATTTATTACAAAATTTTAATTAATACTTTTTTTCTACTGGCTCATCTTTAAATATATTTATGGAAACTATGTTTAGTTTTTAGACGAGGGGACTAAATAAACTGTTGCAACTGTTTTGGGATTAACAGTTACTTTATACAATAAATGAGTTGTAAGTTTTTGTGCGCTAAATCAGATTTTTGGGCAACTGACGACGCATTTCTTGGTCCCCCTCATCTTTGTGATTATTATTTTGTTTAAATCATTTGTTGTTCATTTGTGTACAATCCAGCCATTAACCATATCATTGACGTTTCTTTTCTTTACATTTTGTTTTTGTTGTATACTTTTTGACATTCGAAACATGAACATGAAACATGTTTTACCGTTGCCGTTTACCGTTAAACGTTATCGCCTACCGTTACTCCAAATCAAATCAAATCAAATCAAAAAAACCAAAAAAAATAAATAAACTCCACCATAAATTCATTGACACCTGTAAATGTTTCGCCAAAAAAAAAAAACACTATTCAAAATCGAAAATCCAATCAAACAAAATTGAAAACCGAAAATCGAACATCAAAGTTACCGCGCAAATCGGCTACCAAGATTACAACCAATGGCGAAAGCTTGAGCGGATCGGCCAAGAGGGAGGAATACGGCTTGCGGCGTTCTGGTCAAGATTCCGCCAAGAAGCCACCGATCAGCGGAGGAGGAAGTGGTGGCCACAATAGCAGCGGCGGTATCGGTGGCAGCAGTAGCAGTAGCAATAGCAGTAGCGATGCCAACAAGCGGCTGTCCAGTTCATCCTCATCCCCATCGCTGGCCCGTTTGGTGGCCACCTCCGGACTGGACATGTACGAAAAGTACAGTCCGGCCAACTATAAACCCAACTGTGAACTGTCACGTTCCAGGTCGGGTCATTCTGAGGCGGATCTGGAGAATGCTGGCCAAAAAAAGGAGACGACGCCCACCTGCACGGTGACCCTGGAGCGGCCACGGAGCAGTAGCACTCGCTACAGCCGCCTCTACAGCAACAGCAGCGATGCCGGAGGAGGGGACCCCTCGACCCCGGCATCCACCGGCAGACTGGGTTCCTCCGGCAAGTACTCGATCAACAGCAGCAGCAGCAGCGGCGATGTGCCCACGGCCACCTTTACACTCCGCAGCAATCGCACGCGACGCAGCCAATTGGAGGAGGCAACCACCAAGATCACACAGGCAGAAACAACGGCGGCTCCACCACCACCAACACAACCAGCACCTACACCACCACCACCACCACCACCACCACCTCCTCCAACTCCTCCAACTCCATCTGCATCCACAAACGGCTATAAAACAGGAGGGGAATCGAATGGCGGCGGACTGGAGGCCAAACTGAATGGTCTATCGCTGCTCTCGTCGTCCGCGGCCAAAAGAAATGCCATTTACGAACGAAATCAGGACACCACCGATGATGCAGGTCCCGTTGGCCAGGACAATAATGCGGACAATGCCGATGTGAGCACCTCGGTCACGTTTAAGCTTAACGACGGCAGCAAGGTAAAAACTTTGGCCCGAAGTTAAACGGAGACTAGCAGAGCGCTATGCTCCCCGAAATCGAAAACGATAAACCAAACTAATTGCATGTGCCTCAAACCCGAAATAATTTTTATGGCGTATGCGAAAAAAAAATTAATATGAAACCATTAACCTAACCCAACCAGTCCAATCAACCCCCCAGCATTAACCATTGACCCCCTTTGTACCTCATTTTTGTTCCACCACCACCACCACCACCCCTGTGTGTGTTCGTTAGCCAGCCCAGCAAATGCCGATCATTTAATCAAGTTTACATTTCTATGTATTTTTAGCTAAACTCTTGCAGATTGCGACCCTTCTAACTCAAACTAAAACCAAAAAACTCAAAACTCAAAACTTGAAAAAAAACAAGTCCAACTAAACGCCAGGCTTCTAATACTCCCAACTAAACACAAGTCAAGTCCCCTAAAGAAATCATCTCAAGATCATCATCCAATAACCATTTGCTTAGGATAGTGATTGCGAAGCAGGACAGGATCATCCGATAGTCGAGAATAGTTTACTCCTGGCAGGCGGCGAGAAAACAGGCTGTAACACAACACAAAAATCTCGTATTAACTCGACCTTTAGGCAGGCAACAAAAATAAACGCTAGCGATCCAGAAAACCAAAGAACCAAAGAACCAGAGAACAAGAGAACCATAAAACCACTGTCAGAAAAGGAGCAACTGCAGCAGTGAGTGAAGAGAACGGTGCGGTGACCATCCCGTCGAATGATGTTAGACATTAAGAAGACCAGAGGATTCCATAAGATTCCACAGTCGTCAAAATTGCAGCCAGCAACCGGAGGAGCATCAGTAGTAGCATCGGGAGCATCAGCAGCATCGGGAGCACCAGCATCGGGAGCAAATACCACAGAAGTGCCATTAGCAGGAGGATTAGCTTCTGGAGCAGGCGTAACATCATCATTGTCGGGTCGGGGAACCGCCGCCAGTCTAGTCACTCGCCTGAGAAACCCAGTGCAGGGCAAGCACACATCAGTTCCTGGGACCTCGGTGGCTGTGGGCAAGACTCAAGCCGCCCTGGCGGCAGCCAAATACGGCACAGGCGGCGGAGTAGCAACACAGGTCCGCTCCACGCCGGCGGCGGCAAGCAATCAACCAAGCAGCAATCCGGTACGGGCGGCAAATCAGCGATATTTCCTAGTTTCCAGCTACAAGGATCCCACGTTCCTCAAGGCCGAATGCGAGTTGGCCCATGCCCAGGTGACAGCCACCAAGGGGAAGAGCACGTCGCAGGCACACAGGCGGAGTCGGGCAGGTGAGGATTCGAGGAACAACAACAGCCACAACAGCCACAACAGCCACAACAGCCACAACAACCACAACAACGGTAGCCGGACATCAACGCTGGTTGATATGCGACGCACGCCCATGTTCAATGGCAATCAGCAACAGCAAGCAACCGCCACCAACAACAGCACCACCACCACCATCAACAACACCACCACCACCAGCAACACCAGCAACGGAGTGCCCAAGTACAGTGCCCGCTCCACGACAGCAACTGCAACTGCAATTGCAACTGCAACTGCAACTTCCACGTCTACCAGGAGCTACGGCAAGCTGAAGCCGCTCAACAACAACCAATCGACCGGTGGAGCAGCTATGATGAATGGCCATAACGCCACCAACAACAATAACAGCAGCAGCAGCAGCAGTAACAACCACAACAACGGCGGCAACAACAATATGCTACGTCAGCAACAACAACAGCAACAGCAGCAGCAACAACACGATGATATTAGCTACATAGACAGCGATGAGCCGTCCTTGGCCACTGGTGGCCCAGTTGCAGGAGGTGGAGCAGGAGGTGGAGGAGCTAACAAGGCGAGCATATGCTACTTTAAGCCCATAACGCCGCCACTACCGCTGCGCCACCAGCAGCATCAGCAGCATCAGGAGCCACAGCAGCATCAATCTGGCAGCTCGAAGCCAACCAGCCATCGCTATCCGCGGCCCAAGTCCACCATTATAGCCTCCGCCCATTCGAATTTCGCGGCCAGCTACGAGAAGTTTAGTGGCGGATATAGGCAGACGAATGGCGAGTTGAATCATTCCCCCGAGAGCAGAAACAGCGGCAGCAATGCCCGCCGATATGGCATTGATTCCTTGAGCATTAAGGCCTCCATTGAGAAGTTCAACAACCTGAGTGGACAGAAGAGGCAAACTCCGAGCTCTGGAACGGCGGGAATGGTTGGACCCGGCAGTGTTGCCGATACAACAGGTTCGGGATCGGGATCAGGATCAGGATCGGGAGTCGGCACTAGTCGCAGCCAGCATGCTGCGCAGGCGGGCGGAAGCAGTGGCAATCTGCAGCAGCGCTACAGCAGCGACCTGGACAACATCCGAGTGGCGGCTGGCTACAGTAGTTCCCTGACCAGAGTGGCCTACAGAACGACACCCACAATGAGCAGTGTGGGCACGGCGGTGGCGGCGGCAACATCCGGATTTGGTGGAACCGCCACGGCAGCGGTTTCGCCCATCAACAAGGTGTCGTCGGTGAGAGGTGTCCACAACAGCAGTGTACGGCAGCCAAACGAATGCGATAGCCTGGCCAAAGTCATCACCAAGGTAAACAGCGATGCAGCCACACCTCATGTTGCCAGTGCAACAGCAACACCAGCCACGTCTTCCGTCTCCACAGCCACTGCGACAGCCACAGTCACAGCCACAGTCACAGCCACAGTCACAGCCACAGTCACCGCGACAGTCACAGCCTCAAGCTCCGCCAGTGATAGTGTAAGTCGGTCCTTGGCCAGGTCACCGAATCAGTTCAGTTTAGTTTTATTTACCTTACCGTCTTCATTCCGATTTTCTTCTTATGTACTTATATATTAAGATAAAGATATTTGAAATGCTTGCACTTGGCAAGCGAGCAAGCAACTGAAATTTGTGACAACAATTTTGTAGCTAGAACGTATATTTATTCCATTCATCTTTTGGATTCATCCATCCCGCACACACTATATACTCCTCTGTTATCGTCTGTCGATTGTTTTTGATTTCGCTACTATCAATATGTCGCGCTAAGGCACTCTTACGTTTCGTTTGTTATCGTTATCGTTATCCTTTGCATGCTGGTCTTATATCGCTGTCGCTGTCGCTGTCTCTTCTCACTCTGCTCATCCGCATTATGAAACACACAAAACACCAGTACTAACTTCGACTTTATTGTTATTTTACCTCTTTAATCTCCAACTGTTCGATTGCTAGTTGCTTTAATTAACTTAACTTAACCTTACTTAAATACTAACGATTAATTTAACACCCGAACCGATGGGCAGCTATCGAGATCATCATTGATGGGAAAGTTAGGACTTACTTACATAGAAGTTGTAAATTTTAAATATTTTAGTTATATTTCTTTTAATTTCAAATTTGTTTTCCAAATTTATACTTTCAAGTAATAACATTTGTAAATAAAATGCACAAATATCTAAAACATCTAAGAAGAAGAAAAAAAAGTAGTTAAAATACCTCTCATCACTGGAAATGAATCGATCGGCTGTCATTTGAGTTCGGGATCCTCAAATTAGTCGCAAACGATACTCAAATGTGATATTTTCTCTGTTGTGCAGACGGCAGCGAGAAGCGGCGCTGGGAGCAGCGGCAGTGCCCGAAGCGTCCTGCCGCCCATGACGCCCACGTCGAGTCGCTACTGGGATCGGGATCGGGACAGCGGCACCAGCCGCAACAGCGTCAGCACCTCCTCCACCCTCAACTCATCATCCCTGAAGCACAACTCGGATGATGGCTACAAGAGCGCCTCCTCGTCGCGGGATGAAAAATCCGAAGGTGGGTTCTCCAGAGTACACAATGTACATATGCCTAATACGCTTTATGTCTATCAGCCAATACTTGTTCAAATAAATTAGATTCTATTGATTTCTTAAATCAAGTTTTGAAAGCTTAAATATAAGAGGTTAGATTTCATGAAAAAGTCAGTTGCCAAAATTAAACATGTTTTCTATAAGCATTATATTTTCTATGCATATTGACAAGGCTTTCTAAATATTAAAGCAACTGTAGACAAGTAGTCCTCAAAAAGTAAATTTAAAAAAAATCCAATTCCACGACTATTAGATTTCCGTTACTTGGATAACAAATTTCAAATATTCCCTCAGAAAAAAATCAGGTTATAGCTGGCGCCATCTGCCGGGCAGCACTTCACCTTCCGCTACAGCGACACTATCTTAAGCAGAGCAGCGGCAGAGCACTCATGAACAGTAAAACCACACGCTCATTGCAAATTACTCACACAAATTAGGTGCATTTATTAGAATGTGTTTTACTTTTCTACGATTAAAATATACCCTTTTTACTCTACTAGCAACAAGTATAAAAAGTACTTACCCATTAAAGCAACTGATGAAATATATAGTTTTGTCTTACGTCAATACATTTAATTTCGAAAAGTACACAAAATCAAGTAGCCAGGCTACTTTTAACCACAAACTCTCTTAAAATTCTCAATATAAACTTAAATTAGAAACAAAACATTGAGGATCCGGCGGGGATGGTAGATCCCTTCGTCAGCGAATGCAAGCCCACGCATCCCAATTGGGGAGTAGTGTCCACGGCTGTGCCGTACCCTTAATCGATTGAAATTAATCCGAATTCTCGTTTTGTTTTTTTTTGCATTTTATGCCTATCCACAGGTCTGTGCGGTCTGCGAAACATCGGGAACACTTGCTTCATGAACTCGGTCATCCAGTGCCTGAGCCATACGCAAGAGCTGACCCGCTTCCTGCGCTCGCACCATGGCTCTCGCACATCCTCCACTAAGGATCAGCAGATACTCCACGGTGAGAGTTGTGCTATTTCCATTTGTATTTCTATTTCAATATCCGTTTGCACTATGCAGAATTTGCCAAACTCATCCAGGAGATGTGGACCTCGAATGTGCACACGGTTACGCCCATGGAGCTGAAGCGTGCCTTCTCCACCAAGCACCGCATGTACAGCGACTATAATCAACAGGATGCGCAGGAGTTCCTGCGCTTCTTCCTCGACTCGCTGCACTCGGCCCTCAATTCGGGCGTCAAGGGTGAGACGCTCAACATTGACGATAATCTGAGGTGGGTCTTGCTGTCTTGGTGTCTAGCTGTCTTATATTCAATACAGGGGTGCCCCCCTGATTTAATGACGTTTAACCTGAACCTCAACCGATAAATATATGTACTCATTTACTCAACCCCACGCAGTGACAATAAGAAGGCGGACCTCACCTGGGAGTGGTATACGCGGCACGAGAACTCGCTGGTGCGCGACCTCTTTGTGGGTCAGCTTAAGAGCACATTGAAGTGCACCACCTGCGGCAACACCAGTGTCACCTTCGATCCGTTCTGGGATCTCAGCGTACCGCTGCCATCCTCGTCGCGCTGCAAACTGGAGGCCTGTCTCGACCTCTTTATCCGCGAGGAGGTTCTCGATGGCGACGAGATGCCCACGTGCGCCAAGTGCAAAACGCGGCGGAAATGCACCAAGAGCTTCACCATTCAACGTTTCCCCAAATATCTGGTTATACGTAAGTAGCTTACTCTTTTATTGTCTTTAAAAATGTACGTTTAAGTTGCCTAAGGGGAGAAATAGTACTCTGAACTCTGTGCTAGATCATCCGAAAACAAAAAATCTAAATTATGTCGTTAGATAATCAAGCATTGGGTTTTTCGAAATTTGAATATGTGAATATTTGAACACTAATACACTAGAAATAGTACTAGTGAAATAGCTACAACTTCATATTTGCTCCGATCGACTTGATATTCAGTTGTTTGATCAGATCAGCATCATTGGCATGCAACGAAAAGTCATATTTTTGAAGTATTTCCCCATAAGCAAAGTTTTACCTTCATCTTAAAAGTTAAACAACAGATTATATCTGACTATCTATCAATATACATTAACAATTAAATTAAAACTAATGGAAACATAACCACTTGCAGACCTAAAACGCTTTTCGGAGACGCGCTGGAGCAAGCTGTCGAATATCGTTGAGTTCCCCACATCGGATAGCGAACTCAACATGGGCTCCTATGGGGCCAACTCCAACTCGAATGTGCATTACTCGCTCTACGCGATATCCAATCATATGGGTGAGTTCGGGACCCACCGCTGGAATTAAGTGCCCTATTGATACATACATTCGTATTTAACCGACAGGCTCAACGGCTGGCGGGCACTATGTGGCACTCTGCAAGCATCCCGCCTCCCGCAAGTGGCACGAGTTCAATGATAATATGTATGTATATGTAGCCCCCAAAGTTGCCCCCCCCAACATACTTGCCAAAAATGCCAAAAAAAAAATATTAAGTTAAGTAAGATTTATCAGAAAATTAAAAAGAAAATTCTGTAGTGCTTTTAATCTATGTTTTTTAGGCATTTTATTTTGTGTATTATTATAACTTATTTATTTATTTAATTTATTATTTTGATCGCAACTGTGTCTTAAAATATGTTCATTATTTTTGAAATTTCATATATTTCTTGGTATAAACTAAACTATTTATTGTTTGGTGTGCTAACTTTCCCAAAAGAAAATTCACCAAAAAATCTATTTCTTGCGCTACAACAGTAACTATTCATCTTAAAGCAATATTTTAAATTTAATAGAATTTGGTGCTTAAAAGGATATGTGAGATACATACGTTTATAATTCAGTGGTTTTTTTTTTTTTTTGGCAACTTTTGATAAGCTTCTATAAGGGACCCTTTTTAAAAAAAACATTTTGAAATCTCTTAATTGATATACGTACTTATTTCCTCAGCGTCAGCGATGCCTTGTCCGAAAACCATCTCGTTTCATCCAGTGCCTATATACTTTTCTACGAGCGTGCGTAAGGCCCAATCCGTGCTGTACGGCAACCGTCAAGTGTTGGAGTTAGTTTTGTTTTGCTTTTAAGTAATAAAAGTGGTAGATTGGTTCACATGCAATTTGACGAAGGGTTTCTAAGAGTTTGTTTATTGGTTGATCAGCATTCTTATCCCTCTACTATGTAAATGAAACAACCAACAAACGAACTCTTGAAAACGCTTCATGGAGTTGTATACCAACAAATGTACTTATTGCAAAATAACTTAAGAGCAAAACAACACTTACTCTTAACTCAAAGCAGAAACCAAAACAAAAATGGAGCAAAAGTGCATACAAAACGAGGATAAATGTATATAAAAAAACGAACTTCGATGGCTGAACAAAACAAGAGAAAGAAATGAAAAGAAATGAAAAGAAAATGATATGAAATGAAATGAAAGAGAGAAAGAAAAAGAAACTCCGACGAAAACAATGAATCTGTGCAATAACAATTTTCGGCAAACCAAAAAACCTCAAGCCCCAGGATTAAAACAAGAGATACTAATACTAACTAGTGACAGGATATTCTTTTGTAAGAATACACAATGCAATCAGCGGCAGCAAAGATATAATGTTTCGATAATTCTCTCTTTTTAAGTGTTATTTATTAAAACTGAATTTTCAATTTGCATCGCCCCACTCTACCTGTCTCTTTTTTCGCCTGTCGCTCCATCTCTCTCTCTCTCTCTCTCTAACACGCTATTGGTTTGCCGAAGGATAGTGTCCTCTGGTTGTGTGTAAAGAAAAAAAAAACAAACAAACAAAAACGAAACGAAACGTGGAAAGAGAAAACTAATTATATATTTCAAATTCGTATTTCTTGTGCAATATATTTCATAAAAAAAAATATTAAGAAAAAACAACTGCAATAAATACTTAACTAAAAACGATTAAAACCAAAAAAAAAAAGAAACCGCAATCGCACCACAAAAACCACACTAGCTAAGAGAAACGGCTTTTTAGCAACTAAAAAAAAAAAGAATGTAATATTAATTAATTGATAAATGAGCTACAAATTTAATGAACGGGGGATGCGAAGTGAAGCTGAAATCTGCATTGTGAAAACGTACTTATGATAAATGCTAGTAGTAAAATTTAAAACTTAAAAACGAAGAAACGATCAGCAACAACACCAAAAAAAAACCATTGTTATCCTTTAGCCAAGACACCAATCAACCAACAGAACCATCCAGCCCAGAAAATAAAGGGAAATTCCCCAGATGAGACACCAACCAACCAACACAGTTTTGGGAATTTCCCCAGGGCATAAAAGACCGTTACGAAGTTCGTTTAAAATTTATACAATTTTTTTGTGTTTTTTGTTTGGTTTGCGAAAAGCCACCAAAACTAGTCTCAAAAAAAAAAAAGAAGGAAGAGTTATGTATGAGAGCTACTTAACAAAACACTGTTTTTATTTGTTTGATTTTGTGCGTAATTTGTAGTTTAAGTCGAGCGTTTTTCCACCACCCTCAGCAATCCAACTTATTCTTGCTAAATATATTTTTGTTGCCTACTTTGTTTTTATACCTACATATATAATATATATTATGTAATTTATTTATTTATTGTATTTATGTAAATGCTATATAAAACATACACAGACACCCCCACACAAAAACCTACACTCAGCGAAACACGATGTGTACATAATGTAACTTGTTTCCGGCAGATGCAAAAAAAAAAAACAGCTACAAAAAAATACTACAACCACGCCTACACTGCACCAAAATTTGGATGAAATATTAATAAAAATAAACAAGACACATTATTTATTTATTTGTAAATGAAAAAAATGCGACTTCTATATATTTTTCTGGCTTAACTATTAGTTACAAGTATAATTGTTGGATATTTTACTAACGTTAAAAAGAAAATAAAGAAAAAATTTAAAAAAAACAGCAAGAGAAAAAACTGAAAAATAAAATCGAAAAAAACTAAATTTTGAAATTTGTTTTATTTGTCGCTTCGATATCTTGATCGACCAGGGCTGGAAACAATGCAGAGGTGTTCCAAAAAGGGTGCATATCGCTTCTTAAAAAAGGGTTTTCAGTTTAAATTTTTTTACCTATGTAAAGATTTTTACTTTTTAATAACAAGTTTAGATCATCTTCCTAAATCCCTTATTTGTGTTCATTGTTCTGAGGGTTTATATGCTTAATAAAAAAACAATTTAAATATATTTGTGTTATGAAATCCTTTAACATCAATTTCAATTCATGTGCTTCAAATAAATGCTAGTTTGTTTTTTTTTTAAAAACTACTATTAATCATAAAACAGAATTATTGAAAAATACAATTTAAGCCAACAAATTTAAAAACAACCCAATTTTAATTTTCAAACAACCCGAAAAATATTTAAATCATAATGTTTATGAGAGTATGCAAAGGAATACCTCGTTAATATCGTAGATTTCAATTATAATTCAATTAATAATACAAAACAGTCGATTATTTGTCAACAATTTGGACCCCCGTTCGGGTTACGCCCTTGAACTGAGGCCTCTGCTTCTTTTTATTTGTATTTTAATTTAATAAGAGTTAAGTAATTATTGTTTTGCGACAAGTTTCTCACATTTACAAAATATAACTATAAATAACTACTACTGAACTCCACGTCCTGCGGATCTGTGTTTTGTGTTTCTCGGTTTGTTATGTTTGGTTTTGTTTTGTTTTCTTTTTTATTGACGACATCCAGCGGTTTCGTAACTGCAACAGAAACTTCGGTACGATGTATCTGTATCTGAATCCGTGGATTGGGTGGAATTGTGGGTATTGAAGTGTGGGTCGTGGGTTGTGGGTTGTTTGTTGAGTGTTTGCATCGGCAACTCAGTGCGGCGGCGGCGTTGGCGGCTGCTGCTGCTTTTGTGATCGACTGTGGTTCCGGACAAGAGTTAGGTTCGTTGAGCACCAGTGCCAGCAGGAGCGGCGGCAGTTTAACAAAAAAGACAACAGGTCAACTGCACGCCGCTCGCCGGCGGCCGATCGCTGCTGATCGCCGATCCTTTGGGGCATTGACAATGGCAGCAGCATTGGCGGCGGTTTAGGATCTTGTGACTGTGGCAACGGCAACGGCAACGACACCACCGCCGCAGTGGTGGTGGCGGTGTCCTCGCCCTTGGCCATGGATCATTTACTCTCGTCCTTCTCGGCCTTGTCCGCCTTGGCGCTGGCCCGCGTCGCCTTCTTGTCCTCGTACATTTTAATCAACTCGTTTTTGGTGGGCATGGGTTTGATGTAGCCATGCTGCACCAGGTACTTGATGGACACGGTGGTGCAACCTGCCAACGAGTTGAAATCATTAATATTTACGCTCCGAATTCTAAAGCTAAGTATGCCGCAGTAATCTTACCCAGAGTGAGGGCGTAGCGCAGGGGCGTGGCCACCTTGTAGCAGAGATAGGCGATGGCATAGTGGCCCATATCCGAGCCTTGCACCTTCTCGATGATGTTCTCGCTCAGGTGGACGTACTGCAGCAGAGCGGGCACATCGACGCCACTGCAAAAGAAGCGATTCGTAATCCGGCAGACACCTGCTCATCCAGCGAGTGTACTCACCTCTTGGACAGGTAGTAGAAGCCTCCGAACCAGCCCACCGACGTGAGCACATGCACCGGGATGAGCACGTACCAGTACTGTTTGTACATGTGCTTGAACTTGGCAAACAGACCCATGTTGGCCGCCTCGCCGAAAAGATCAGGCGGCAAAGTGCTACTGGCGGTGGAGGCGGTGGCCTTCGCATCCTTGTCGTCCGGGGGAGCAGCGGCCGCCGCGGGCTGTGCTGACTTGTGGTTGAAGCGATTGAAGCGGGTGGCGATGGAGGCGTTGGACAGGGGCAGGAGTTGACCTCGCCAGGCAGGACTGGGCGGGTTCGTGGTCCTGGGCATCAGCGTCACCAGGCACCTGGAGTGGGCACCTCCAAACAGCCGCAGGGAGCAGGCGGCGAGCAGTCGCTGTCGCGAGAGCAAAGCTACCGTTGCCATTATGGATGCAAGATCGGCCAATCTCCTCCAGAAAACCGATCACAAGTTGCGGTGAGTTGCGCGGGTGCCGTTCCTCGCCAAGGATTCCGGTTGACTCACAGCAGCAGCAGCAGCAGCAGCGGCAGGATACCTCAATAGATTCGGTAGCTTCTCTGGTCGATGATTTCACACGCACATTTCCAGAGCCGGCACAATGCAACCAAAAAATCTCCTGATTTCACCTGGCCTGCTGACGAGTTATCGGCGAAAGTTATCGAAAAAGCACAGCCTGTTGGGTAACAGGGCTAGCGAAAGTTGATTATGTGCTCTTCACACTGACTCTGGTTTAGTCAGCGATCGACACTATTTTGAAACAGAAGATAAGCGATTCTTGTTGTCCGTCAGGCATATTTGGCCAACCAATTTGAATTTTCCCCCCAGTAGATGAACTTATCGTGCTTGTATTAGAATATTGCCGACCGATAGGCGAAACACGCCCTAAATATTCGATGTTTGCCCAAGGCAGACGAACCCCTCAACATAATGATTGAAAAAATAATTGGTTGTGTACAAAGGAATTCTTTAATTTTTATTAATGGTAAGTACAGAATGGGGACACTACTCTTTGGCGCATTAAATTACAATTTTAAGCATATATTCAAGGGATTAAAACCAAATTGAATATCGGTTTCGGTTACACGTAATTCTAGGATGAGATAACTCCAAAACTCGAGTCCAGTGTAAACGGATCTTTATCTATGCGAGTGCTGTTAAGGCGCAGTGCTGTGCTGTTAAGCGCAATGCTGTGCTGTTAAGCGCAGCACATTGACAACACTGTCAAAACAGCTGTTCGACTTGGACATTGGGATTGGAATTTGCTTTTTAATTGAATTATTAACTTAACGTCCTGTGATTGCAAATACTTCCCATGGATACGACGGAACAGGCGCTCGAAGTGATGCCACCGGCAGTGCTCAGCCTGAGCAATTGCCCGGGCACCACGCCCGGCACGCCGCAGAGCAAGAATCAGCTGAAGAAGCAACGCAAACTGGCGGAATTTGCGGAGCTCCGGAAGTTGCGACGCGAACGGGAGCGGGAGAAGAAGAAGCAGAAGCGGCGGGAGGCCAAGGAGCAGGGTCTGCCCATCCGGACGGGTCCCTCCCGCAAGGAGCTGAAGAAACGCCAGACGGCGGACGGCGGCCAATCGGCGCTCTCCGTGGCCATCGATCTGGAGTACGATGACTTGATGCAGGAGCGTGACATCGCCAAGTGTGTGAAGCAGTGCCTCCGGATCTACACCATCAATCGGCGCAGTGCGCAGCCGGGCAAGCTGCACTTCACCGGCATTCGGCGCAACGGACCCATCCACGAGTCGTTCATGAAGAACGACGGCTGGGAGAACTGGCACGTGGAGTACCACTTCGATCGCAACCACACCGCCGTCTTCGATGCCCGGCAACTGGTCTATCTCACCTGCGAGTCGGACCAGGTGCTGGACAAGCTGCAGCCCGGCTGCACCTACGTCATCGGCGGCCTGGTGGACCACAATCACTTCAAGGGTCTGTGCCACTCGCGGGCAACGGAGGCGGGCCTAGCCACCGCCCGCCTGCCGCTCAGCGAGCACGTGGACATGAAGACCCGGTCCGTGCTGAGTACCTACCACGGTGAGTGGGCGCAAAGTAAAGTAAATCCCCGGACTTCTCCGAACGTATATTCACGAACCGCTTGCGAAAGACTTTTTTTTGTACCCTTGCAGGGCGCATTTTAAGTGGTTAGGTTTTTGTATTACAGTCAAAACTTCCTAATTAAAAACGAATCAAATATCGGTTACGGTTACTGTTGCGGTATAACTAAAGATATTGCGGTTCCAGTTCCGGTAAGGCAAAAACAAAAATAGGTTCCGGTTTTGATTCGGTTTTACCGGTAAAGGATAGCGGTTACTAAACCGTTTGGATACCTTGGTGCGTTTACCAACACAGTGTAGGGTGTGGAATCGAAAAACAGATAAAAATAAATTTCATTTGGATTAACATTAAAAAAAGAATCAATGTAATTGTTGTTGGCTTGCCTCGTTCCTATCAGCAAAACAAAGATGTAACGAAACATTATTAGTGTATAGCGCAGAAATCTTACCTATGTAACGACTATTTACTTTTTAATATTTTTCCCGATTAAGGCAAAACTGTAAGTAAAATATATTAACCGCTTTCGCTTGGCTATATATGAGAGATCGTTCAGATATTTTTTCAATGGTAAATTTTGTTTTTTTTCCTGTACCTATTTGCAGACATACATTTTAAGGATTACTATCTTATTGGGAATTTATTATTAGGAGACATTGAATAAAATAGATTATTCGGATAAACTTTAATAAAAAACTTTTATTCTTTTAAAGGATAAACTATTTCCGTATTCCCATCTGATATTACCCTTTCATTTTCAGTGTTTGAGCTGCTAACCAAGGTTGCTTCTGGCCAGGATTGGACAACGGCCATTCTGGACACGATTCCCATGCGCAAGGGTGCCAAGGCGAAGGTCATTAATGGAGAGGAGCAGCAGGTAGAGCAGTCGCAAAGGTTGGAGAACCCCGAGGAGCAACTGGAGGCCGAACCGAGTGAACCATCCCCGGCCGCCATCTCATCGGAAACCGCAACCGAAGCCAAGTTGTTGGACAGTTGACAACAGTCGAGATCGCATTTCGAGGTCTTTTTGATTTTTATTTCAGTTTCTTTTGTTTTTACAAAATCACATTTAGTTTTGTTTCGCAAATTAAATTACAACTTAAAATACATAGCGCAAATAATAATTAGAATACAAAAAAAAGTGTGTTACTTGATTTCATGTATCAGTTTCAGTTATGTTCTACAACGTACGATGGTTGTCAGCGAAAAAAGTCGCCAGTTAAACGATAGCGTCTTCAAATTTTCGTTAATTTTATTTTTGTTTTTTTTTTTTAGTTTTTTATGATTTGTGCACGTTATATGGCGAATGGGTTTAAAAATAGCACCGAACCAGATTTCTTCATATTTTCGTTTGTTTTCTATACTTGTTATTTCTTCTTTTTTTTTTTTTTTGGTTTTTTAATTGCTGCTTTAGGCTTTTGATTTGGATTCAGATTAAGTAGCTTAACGCCCTCACAGCGACATCTATATAAACCATACATATAGGTAAGTGTATCTGTAGTATATGTACATGTTGCATGCCGTCACTCGTTGTTGTTGTTGTTTCTGTTTGTGGTCAGTGGATAAACACAAAATGGCAAATACAAACTAGAGTCATACAGTAAAATAGGAATAGGCATGAGGATATATAAACACAAAATAATGTACAAAGCAATCGAAAGAAAACGAAAACAAACAAACAAAAAAAAAAAAACAAAGTAAACTTAAACTTAAACTTTTGGCTTAACTCTAGGGTAGTTTTAACTTTTGGGTGTTTAGTTTAGTATATGTATATATAGCAAAACGATCACTAGTGTATAGTGTATAGCAATATAGCAAAATATATAACTGATCTCCACCAGGGAAAATATAACCGTCCGTGTTGTCTGTTTTCTGTTCTCGTTTGCTCCTCTGTCTGTTGTCGATGTTGTCGGTGTTTGTTGTGTTTGTATATGTATGTTAAGATAATAGCTTTATAATACGACACAAATCGGAGCGATATCCGATCCGATCCGATTCGATCCAATCCAATTTACTTGAAGTCATCCGTTTCGAGTATCTCAAAGTCGCTCTCATCCGACGAATCCAAGGCGGTAACAATGCGCTGCTGTTCGCGATCGCGATCCCTGCTCGCATCGGTGGTGTCACCGCCTCCGCTGCCGCCGGAACTGGCTGCAGCCGCACCGCCTGCCCCCCACTGCACCAGGCCGGAAACGAGGCTGGGCAGGAGCTTCCCGCTGTTGGCCAGAAGCGCCTGTGCCTGGGTTTTCACGGCCAGGGCCATTAGCTCGCCGGCGGGATCCGGTCCAGCGGTTATCTGACGCAGCTGTGTGCTGCTGTTGCCACTGGCATCGACGGTGGTGTGATCGGGGAACTGCAGCCCCTTGGACAGACTCTCCTCCGACGACGAGGACGTGGTGGACAGCGACGAGTCGCGCTTAAAGTGACCCTTCCGGAAGTTCATGTCCCCGCTCTCCTCAGCTGCCAGCTGATCCCGCTGCACCTGCTGCTGCTGCTTCTCCAGCTTCTTGGCCGCCAATGGGGCCAGCTCATCGTCCTCGTCGGTGGAGTGCTCATCGATCTCGGGTATCACGTCCGGAATGAGCAGCTCCGATGGTATATCGTCGCTGCGCTCGTCATCCTCCTCGTCGTTCGCATCGGTGGGCGAGCTGATGGTGGCCACATCGCTGGCCCGTTCCAGCACAAACAGATTCAACTCGTTTACGTCCGGCAGAAACTCGTCCTCCGCCTCGGCCTCCAAGTTATTATAGTTGAGCTTCTCCGACCACTGGAAGTCTGCAAGGCAAAGGAAGATACTTTCCATTATTACTATCAAACTCAACGAATTTTTGGAGTTTAACGCGAAAAGAAAATCAAAGTCTGTGGGACAAGCGATATTATGAGTCAGTTTTATTACTCAAATTAAAGAGAATTGAATTTAACGCTTTTTTTTTAACTGTGCTACATAATCCTTTGAGCTGATACCCCTATTCTAGTCTTAAAGAATGTAAGACTTACAGCTGCGGTCACAATAATAGTATTGGGACATGGTAATGTGCCCAAACACATACCTTCAATGGATAGGAAAACTTTTGTTTTAATTTTTCGTATTGTTCAGTTACCAATAAACAAAATTAGTTTAAAAAAACTTTTGATACTGTTTTAGATATTTAGGAAAAATTTAAATTTATTATACTAAGAAATTCACTTTTTAAGATACTGTTGTAAAAAAAATAGCCAAAAATCCTCATTCATCTGTACTTTGCGTTGGAATAAAAATATATATAATATCATAACTTTTTTTTTAATTAATATATAAACAACTTTTTAACCTACTATTTTCATGACCGACTTTATTGGTGCAATGATTTTTTATTGTATTTTAAAATTTTTCCGTCTTTAAGGATTAAATTGAACATGTTTTTCCAATTACCATTTTAATTTAATTGATTGTTTTTTTCGTTACGTTTATTTAAAATTAGCTTCCAGTCTAACTATTTATTTTTGTAAAAAATTAAAAACTTAGTAAAAGCCCTAACATTGGTCTACTGTTAGGTATAATTAATAATATTAATCAGTATTGTACTGATTTCAGTGTATGAAAGAAATAGTTATGGAATTCAATCATTAAGTTTGATATCTTGGTGGCTTTTTACTGCTAAAATAAGTTTAGTTTGTCCCTCTGCTGTTTAAAAACTTAAACACCCCCTTTGATGGACCACTGACCACTCACCCTTGTGCTCGATCTTCAGCAGCTTGAAGTTGTACTTGGTGGAGACGAGGGCGGAGACGACCAGGATGGTGAGTACCAGCGTGGACCCAGAGATTAGGTGGCCGAGCACCGCGAGGGTGCCCAAGCAGCCGGTGCTGGCCAAGCAGAACATGCTGGGACTGGTGTGGCGCCAGTCGTCGATCCTCTGCAGCAGGCCGTTGATCTTGCCGCGCAGCTCGTCCGTGGGCACAATCCGGAAGCTGCAGCGCGTCCAGTAGATCCAATAGCCCAGCAGTCCCAGGAAGAGCACGCCCAGCGGTCGTACCCTGGTGGAATAATCGCAATGCAAATCGCGGTGAGAGATTGTTAGTGGATGGTGGTATTTATGGTATTTATGGTGTTTATGGTCCAGGTGGAAGGCAGGCGAACTGCAGGGGACAATAGCTCGATGGCGACTGCCGGAGATAACCCCGAATCTTGATGATGTCTATTACGTTTAGGGCAATAATTAATAACCGCTGAGCGAGTGGTGAAACATGTTCTAGCAGGAAGCAGAAGTATACCCAGTTCTTCTGCCCGCCCAGTTCCTCTCTCTCCCCCCCGAAAATAAACCCAAACCACAAACCACAAACCAAAAAGCGAAAAGCTGGTCAAACCTGGTCAAACGAGCAAGCGTATTTTTGGACTTTTAATTTACCTTAAGTGCGAGAATGTTTCGCACAGTGCGTCTCAACATTGTAAGGCCGACGGCCAACGTGATTTAATGAGGTTTTGAAATGGATTTCAAAATAAAATGATTAAAATAATGATTAAGAAAGCCAAATAATATTAATTCCGTGGTTATAAAATAATAATAATTATTCCGTCTGTATCTTAACTATATAAAAATAAATTTTAATTACTTTATAATTTCTTATTATTTTCCCTAATTATTAACTATTCGAATTGTAATGGAAAAAATGTAATATTTATTAAAATATAGTGAAAAAGGGCTATACCTTAGTAACCTAAGTCCAATAATATCTCAATATTAATAACAGAATGATTTGCTAATCTTAAGATAATTAACAAAAGTAATGGTTACTTTACGCAGCATAATCCATTTATGAAAAAAGTCATATCACCATTGATGCAAAGAAAATTAAAACTATAAAAATCCCACTGTCAAATATTAATGAAACGCACTGTCTCTGCCAAATTTGCGATGTGAAAAACAAACAAACAAAACGAAACTAACAAATTCCAGACAGCTGACGAAGTCAATAATCAAGTGATCGGGTTCCTCTCTGCTAATCTTTAGCTTCTGCCTCTTTATTACGCACCATCAATCCACCGGAAAGAGTGACCACTGTACACGTAGATATATTAGACAAAACTGACTGACTCATGAATTATTCAAACACCACTCGGTTCTCACTAACAGGAACTTGAAATAAACTCCCAACCCTGGATGGTATTATCGGTTTCGGTGCTACGATTTGATGATTTATGATCTGGATGTTGTTTATGTTTGTCATACACAAAGAAAAAGCGCCTAAAATAATTAAATATTTGCTTTTATTTCATAAAACCATAAGTATTTAATAGGAAAAATGATATCAATAAAATCAAATCAACGAAAACTAGGTATTATGTGACATCCAGGAGTTAAAAATCTTTTGCAGAGTAAGAAACACTATGACACTTATGAAAAATTAGTTCAACATTTGTAACTTATATATATAAAGTAAATTTAAGTTTTCAAATTTGTAATTACCATTACGAATTTAAATGTATAAATGCTGATTGAATTCTTATTTTGAATTTGTTTATTTTTTTTCTATCCTGTGAAGAGAGAATATTTTTTTTTTGCGTGTAATGTATTTTGTATTTTGTTTTCGCTTGACTTTTGCTTTGCCCTGGTGTGTTTACTTTTTATTTGTTCGCCCTACGAAACGCTGACGACTTATTTTGCTCTTGAAAAAACGTCTAATTAATTATCTCGCTATTTTGTTGCTAATTTGCACTTCAAATTGATGTTGATGGGCGAAGGGCGAAGGGGGCGGTCATGTGGGGTTGTTTGTAGGGAGTTTTGGAGTGATCAGCGCTTTATTTTTTGACAGACAATCGACTGATCTACGGCTGTTGCTGCAATTGATTGGCATAACGCTCCTTTTATTGTTGTCGTTTGGTTTGTTTTTCTATAGTGTTGTTTTTTTTTTAGTTGTTGTGGCTGAGATACTGGGGCACAAGTGGAAAAGCTAAAAGCAGAAAGCAAATATCGCACAATTGTCCCGTTTAGATACGGAAACGGAGAGCGTTACAGCGTTGGGTGTAAATGCTCTTGCTCGTACAGTCGATATCCGATAAAAGCAACGGATTTTTGAATACTTTAAAAGTTTAAACTTTTCAAACTGAGATATGGACATTTCTATTAATGAAAAACATAATATATATAATATGTATATTGCGACTTGCCGTATTGGCGTATTTTCCAAATACTTCTTCCGATTACATTATCCGAAACATTTATTTATTTATCCACTGTTGATGCATTTTTATATGTATATGGGGTAAGGCTGCGTGCATTCATTCTCTGTATTTTATTTAATTCTTTTTTGGTTAATTGCGCCACACAGAACGCTTTAAATGGACGGCCGAGGGTGTGGTCGGTGTGCATGGGCATGGAGTGACATTTTTATGTACGAGTGAGTATTTATATAGAAAGGAAGGACGGCGGCGCGGTGGCGAAAGGCTGGGGGCCTTTTAGTCAGCCAAAACGAAGGTGTAAGCACGTACAAAGAGATCGCCGATACACACACACACAACAAACTACAATCGGGGCTATATAAAAACTAACAAATAATCTTGTTGCAATAAACACAAAGGAAATTGATCGGAAATTAATCTATGTATTTTGAGTCAAAAAATACATAAAAAATCAAAATTGGTAATTACTAAAGTAAAACCTCAAGAGTTGCCCAATAAAATGGTTAGCCAAACAATATTGTTATCAAAAATAATCTCCATGATGACAAATTACATTTAGCATTTTGTTGTGCCAGTTATATGCAGTTTTTATGACCTTGAAATTTTAGACACAATTGTAAAGCTTATAAACAATTAATTAATCACTTCATTTCTCCAAAAGCGCGCTATTATTTTGACCAAGGGTGTGTGTTCGAATGGTCATGTGCATGCACATGAGCTTCGTTTCGGTGCGCTTTTTACATATGTGGAGCAATCTACATGTGTGCACACATATATTCCCAAAATAAAACATTGCAACTTTCATCTCGAAATTGGCCACGCGACGAATTTCTTTCTTTGATTCCCACAGCTCCACAAACTTGACTTGTCTTTGTGACTATAAAAATGTATATAGTATATTTTATATTTTCATTGTATCGTCCTCCTTTCTTTCAATGGGAATGTTACTGAAATGGCTGGCAATAAATGCAGATTCGTTCGACCCAATTACACCATTTTTTATTACAGTGCGTAGGCAATTGCGGATGTAATGCAAGATCATTTTGAGAAAAAAAAATCCTTTTATGTTTTTTGTCTTGTCAGACAGCTAATCTTCTAGGCTAGCGGTTTGCGGGATTTCGGCAAAATTTAATAAATTAATTTTGATGATTTTGTCGACCAGTAGAAATTAGTATCTTGACAACACGTTTATCAAATTGTAATGTTTAACGTATTTTTTAAATTTCTGATTGTTCTAGGTAAGGTTTGAAAATATTTATTACTTTTTTTTAATCTTTTTTATGACATGTACTTGCATTTTTCCACCTACACAAAGCAATTTTTACGATGACAAATTTTCTTAACTCCGTCTTCTGTTATAACTCAAATTTGTAATTACCCCAACGAACTTTATGAAATTGGTTTTAATGGCGGCTCAGTTATTGATGCTTAATGGTGTTTTGTAATGTGTCCTGCCATTTCTGCCATTTTCAACCAACAATCAACAGATATACATATGTAGATCTTGGACTTACCAGGTCATGAGGATGACTGTGACGGCAGCCATCGCTCCCCAGTGGAGCAGAGCATGGAACATTTTGAAATGACTTTAGTTTTATTCTATATTCTTGTGGCTATTGTGGGTTTTTTGGATTCCGGCTCCCGCGGTTAGCGGGTTGCTTTTGTTATCGCTTCACTATTCCAGGCAACTTCCGTTTCCGTTTCGCTTTCGATTTTTTCGATTTCCGCTTTTGCAGCCCAGAGACAATCCGTTTACCGTTGGGCCAGGCTCTGGATCAGCTGTGCGCATGGGCGGAGTAACGGCTTTCCACTCTCTCCTTATTTCGCCTTCCCTTTCTTTATCCTTTTTCTTTGTTTGCTCTTTGTTGAAAATGCGCGGCTGCGGCGTAGAAAAGAAAATAATAATATTTATTACTGTTGCATGAGCAATTTTTCTGCTACATGGCAATTTACCAAAATGTTTTTACCATGTTTTTCTGATTTTTGAGGGCCTGTGTCACTCACACAAGCAAACTTGTTTTTGGCAAATGGAATGGAAAAACAATTAAAAACAAAGAAAACTGCGTTGTGCAGCATGGAAAAGGTGGCCAGGCCATGTTTATTGCGACTTTTCAACCAGTGATTAACCATTCAATTTGTAATACTTATTTTTGCTAGTTGTTCCCTAGTATCTTTTTTTTTTTTTCATTGTCTTGTTTTCCTTTTATATTTGTTGTTGTTTACTGCTTTGCTTACCGGCTGCGTGCGAAAGAGATGGCACATCAGCGTGGGAGAGGAAGGGAGCACGCGTGGGAGAGAGGAAAGAGAGCGGAGCGCGTGGAAAAGCTTAGAAGTTGTAAAAATAATCATAATAACAAAAACAGAGCCAAAAACTAACGCCCAGTAGCAACAACAACAAATGGTATAGGAAAAACGAATAAAAAACAAAGTTGTTTGGCCTTCGATGTCTTTTTCAATTGCGTCGCAGAATGATATACAAAAAAAAAAAACAGAAACACAACCACACACACAAAACGTGTGTATATACACATATGTGCGAAACTTTGCGCTTTTTGTTTTTGTTTTTCCTTACAATTGTACCTTATTTTCATTAAGTAAATGCGGGGCATGGAAGAGAAAAGAAGGAAAGGGGTCGTAATGACTTTTTATTACACTGAAAAAATACAGGCAAAACCTATTTCTCTTCGCAGAAATTACACCCCCTTTACACACACACGCACGCACGCACTCTTTACACACATTTACAACGCAATTTTAAAAATAGATCAATTTAGAGCAGAAGAAACCGCGAATGAATAAAAACCCAATTTAAAACACGTTTCCCAGCACGTTTTTAGTAAAAACGGTGTTCAAATTGTTTTGTAACTAATACAAAATATTACACACAACAATCACAAACAAATAAACAGCAATAAAAACATTGAACAGTTAAGGGTTTTGCATACTTTTAGCTATAGTTTGAGGTATCCAAAAACAAAACACTTTCAAAAATTTATTGCCTATTTCCAGAATTCCAAACAAATTCGATCGCGCCACAACAACAATGCAATGAAAAACACATCCGCGATATGGAGATGAAACAAAAATCGATTTTTATTCGGTACTATCGATTCTTTCAATAATTGAGCAACACCGAGAGATAACTGCAAGCATCGATTATTTTCACTTAATAGCTTGTTCAGACTCAGCAGCATTCTCGGTCATAAGTTATTCACTGATGCCATTCATTGTGGAAAATTAAATTGTATTCTTTATTTAATTAGTCAATTTGCCTAGTCAATTAATAATAATAAAAAATTAGTCAAATTAGTCTTTCCACACAGTCCTTTGAAAACGGTTGGAATTTTCGACATATGTGAAATTCAGGTTAGTTTTGTAGAACTCGGTTTGACAAATTGACTTAATCCTTATTTTTCATTTATTATTAAAAAACAATTAATTATTAAAATTCAGTTAAATTAATTAAATAACAGAAATATGAGAAAATCAAAGGAATTATGTATCTTTTCTTGATGATTTGTTCATACCTTTCATACAATTTTTTTCTGAATCTAGAGATGACAATCCGTTTTCGATAACTTAGATTAGGGTCGCATGGACATGTTGTCCTTTTCAAATTTCAGTTTAAAAATACTTTCCCATTTCTAATTTTAAGTCTCTTCAGCTAGTGTTAGAAAGTTGATGTTAGTGGCAATTCCTAAATATTTACGAAATTCTAATTTGGCAACGAGTTGGGTCTAAAGTTTATTAATTTAATTGGCATTCTTGAGGTTTCTTGATTTTTGGCGGGAAATCGATGGCTCGCTCAGTGCCATCGTTAGATGTCATCTCTAATAGCAACAGAAACATAGGAAACAGTGAACACAATTTTAACAAAACAAATAGGTTTAGCTTCCTGCTGACAAGATTTCCCCACATATTGGAGGTCCCAACCAAAATTCCCCGTAGAAAAATTCACCAATGGATGCGACCAGGTAAGTGCGTTGTTTGGGTAATTGTCAATGGTTGTTTATTGGCTTTTAATTGGTTGTTTCGCGCTTAAATATTGGTTTTTCCTTTTATGTAGGACCATGGAGCAGCTGCTGGCGGCCGTGGAGCTAAGCCAGAGCCTCAGTGAGGCAACCACGCCCACGGCGACGACCACCATATCGATTTGGAGCACCCCCTCCGAGGGCAGTGGCTCCAGTTCCGCGGACCGCGCCTCCTTCCGGTTCCGGCTGGATGGCCAGAACATATTGCCACCGCTGGTAAGTTGAAATCTTGGCCAGGGAGTGGCGCTCACCCAGGCGTAACCCCCATTCCACGATGTTCCAGATGACGAGCGCCAAGCGGCATGAGGTGCAGCTGGCCCGCCAGATGGCTTTGAAGCTGGAGGAGCGCTACCGCCTGGCCAGAAACTCGGCGGGATCCGACATGGCCGGTCGGAGGAGTCTGTCCCAGCTGCAGCAGACGGAGACCTTCATCTACGACAGCACACAAAGGCAGGCGGCACGTCCTCAATCACTGACCCTGAACATACAGCTGCCCACCATTCAGGTGGATCCTCCCACGCCCCAGCCGCCGCTGGAGCCAGTGGAGCAAGTGGCGCCAATGGAGAATGTGTCCCCCCGTCGTCATAATCGGATCACCGATCGCATCCTACAGTTCGAGCAGTCGGGACTGGGAAGAATGCTGCCCAAAGTGCAGGACCAGAGGATATTGCGCTCCAGTACCAGTCCTTCGATCGCTGCTGCTGTCAAGGATCAACCGCTCGAGTTGAGGGAAAAGGCACAGCTTACCACACCACCAAAGCCAGAGGAAGTTGGCTTTCAGCGCTCCAGGAGCTTCACGCTGGACGAGCCCTCTCAGGTGCTCGTAGAGCACATGCAGCGGGAGGCACTGGCGGTCAGACCCAGCAATAGTTTGGCCAACTTCCAGAGACAAACAATTGAGTCGCAGGCCAAGCGGGTGAATCGCAGTCCCAGGAGAAGCACCACCACCACCACCACCACCACCACCACCACTGCAAGCACAGCAAGCACACCTACCGCACTAGCCACCACCAGCAGCTGCTCCAGAAGAGATCGCGAGGTGGAGCGCATAATAGAAAAGGCACTGGGCGAGCATTGTACCCTGGAGGCAAGCCGAAGGGCAGGCGTGCGCAACTATCTGCGTGGCCATCGGGAGCGGATGAACCAGTTGGTGCTATACCAGGAGGAGGAGCGTCGTCGCATGCAATCGCAGTTTGATCTTCAGCAGCGCCAGCTTATCGAGGAACTTTGTGCGGAAATCGATGATTCCTCGGGCACCGAAAATCCCGATGGTCTGGTGTTGGAGAGCACGCCCACACCCACACTCACGCCCACGATGTCCGTCTCTTTAAGTGACACGCCCCGCACTCTCCAAGAGCTGGATGACTTCCTTCCGACGGACAACAGCTGCCAGATGCCGCGGGCTCCGTCCTCCGCTCGAAAAAGGTTGTTTAGTCCAAAGCACTCGCTGGGCTACGAATCGGAACCCCAGCAGCCGGGTGCAGGAAGTGCGCTCAGCACACCGCGATCGTTGCCACTGCGGAACAGCAGTTTAACAAACAGCCGGCGAAGTGGGCAAGCAGTGAGGAGGCGATCGCAAACTGTGGGCAGCAGTCCGAGGAAATTGAACAGTGGGGCTGCAGGACGCGAGGTGATCAAAGCACCAGCGCAGGCTGCAGTTGGGGGAGGACGACCGAGAAGTTCACAGGGTGGTGGTGGGAGCTCTACAATACCGAAAAAGGGCAGCACACCAGCAAGGAGCAGCTCACCCACCAAGCAGCGACTGAGCAACTCGCCAACCAAGCGTATGAGTAATGTGAGTCTTTCGAATTAATCCTAGCGTTACTCTGAACCGTTTCCTTTCCGAATCCCAGAGGTTTTATGCTTACTACTTTTGAAATTTGAGTTAAAGTATGAAATGAAAATATTTCAATTACCCAAGAACTCGCGAAATTCTGCTTAAAATTTATGTGATTGTAATCACACTTTAGAAAACTCTTGTATCAAAAGTAGTATAACTGGTCAAAGACAGTGAAAACCTTGGGCTGAAATGTCTATCAAATCTATTTCTGTATTCCTATTCCTATTCTATTGTCTCCGCCTACACAACACAAGCAGCGCAAGAAGTCGTAGCAAATCGGGTGGCCAGCTAACCAAGTGCCTTAACAAAGACTGCCAGGAAACCGAGGGACCAAACCTCTAGCACCCGTAGCTAACCTAATTACTAACCCATTCATCAAGTGCCTTTCCCTGCTTTCTAACACCCCGTCTGATCCCCGCCAGAATCTTAGCAATCTGGAGCAGGAGGAGCGCCAGTGGGCGGCCACGCGAATAAATGCCGGTGTGCGTGGATTCTTGGTCCGCCGTCTCTTTGCAACCGAGCAGGTGCAGCGGATTGTCCAGACCATCAGGGACACCCTGATCTTTGTGCTCAATCTACATTTGGAAACTTGCGGCCATGGCCTAAATGCAGAGGAGCCCGCTAATCTGCGCCTCAAGGCGCGATTGCTTCAACAGGTGGGTTGGTTGGTTCTTAACCTGGTTGTAAACGATGCAGCGGTAGCTCAGAACCATAAAGATAAATCGATATGGTATCACTTTTGATCAGTCAAATGAATTTAGAGCCCAGGCTTTCGTTAGGCAAAGATGCTATTTTTTGTGAACGAAACAAGAATTAATTTTAATTTAACGTTATTTAAATTATTTTTATTCTTGAGATTGGCTGGGTGTCTGCACAAAAATATTATTATTTTATTATTATATTTGTTTTATTTTAAAGTGCTCCGTTTTCACATAGTTTTATACAAATTCCATATCATTTTTCTGACTTTTCTCTTATTTTCATGGGTTTTCCCAACAGCTCTGCTCGGCCAGCCGCACGCTGCACCTGATCTTTTTCCAAACGAGCACCAAGGAGCGCATGGAGATCATCGCTCGGGATCGCAAGCGGATAAAAACCAAGCTGATTTTAAAACACCGTTGATCCGTTTCGGATTTCGTAGGCTATACTTGAGAAAAGGAACCGATAAACGAACATTCCCTGCCCTATATGTACAAGCACCTATTAAACTTAAAATAACATGAATTAAGTGTTCTTGCCTTGTCTGTTTTCATAAACTCACAAATCTCAGTTTTGATTTTATTTTGTCTTTAAATCATCACCAATGAGATCAAATTTCATGGAATGAAAATTAAAAAAAATCGAAACTTAAATTCCGGGGATAGATCGTTTAAATTTGCTTAATTTTGTATTTCTATAACTTTAGTTCAAGCGTCTCTAACGAAATGAAATTTTGCTGAAATTCGAGTAAGACTTGCACCACATTTCTTACTTTGTATGCGACTTACGAAATAACAAACAAAAAAAGATTGTTTACGCTAATATGTTTATGTTTATACAAATACAGATTTGCATAGAAAGCCATAAAACTTTTTTTAAAAAAAGTTCGATTTTCGGAACAGCTGTTTGGCAAAAGCTTTTGGAAGAGCAGAAAGCTCGCTTGGTAAGTTCAGTACGGTATTTGTTGGTTCTCAACCAAACTACGGAATTTTTGCAGCGAACGGACGTGTGTGCGTGTTCTGGCTCTACAAGAGCTCAAAAAACAAAAAAAAAAAGAAACGAAGAAAGGAATATAAAGCAAAAGAAGCCTAATTTAATAACAATCAATTATTAGTAATCACCTAACCCGTTGCAGCAGACCGCCCATCCCGCCATTTCCCCAGCTGCCCGCGCTTTGCCATCCCAGCGACTGTAAATTTAGCACTTACCAAATTTCAATAAAAATAAAAAACATTCAAATAATAAAGCGAAAATTGATTTCGTAACTCGTAAAATTGAAGGACAGTGAGAGAACAAGAATTGTTATTAAAAATATATGTACACAGACTTGCGTTCTTAACACGCGGCAAGGTTTGCACGTGTGTGTGTGTGTGTGTGTGCGTGTAAAATGTAAAAAAAAAGAAAACAAAATAAAAAAAAACATTGCCCAGTGTTGTTGTTTGCTTCTTCTTTTTGTTTGGATAACCCGCACTAACACCTCCGCAGAGGATAACAATGTCCTATACCGAATTGGAATCGGGATACCAGGATATATCCCAACAACAGCAGCAGCAGCAGCAGCAGCAAAATACGCACCAGCCACAGCAGCGCGTCGGTTTCTACTTGGGATTACAGGATGGCAACGTATGCGCTCCATTTTTTTTTTACCACTAAACCCTAGCCTAACCCACTAAAATGATGCATTTTTTGACTTTTGAATGCTATACATACTATATGTATGTACATATATGTACATAAGTAATACATTGTGTGTCTATAGTGGAGGTCACAATGATAGCACTTAAATGGAAGAATTTATTAAACGATCTTGATTGCAAGATTTGGAAAGGCGATCAAAAAATGATGAAAACAATTTCAGTTTTTGTTCATTTCTGAGATAACACCTATTTTCAAAACAATGAAACTATTTAAAATTAAAAAAAAAAAAAAAGAATGTTCATTTGTTATATTTCTCTTAAGAATAATGATTTGATTTTTTGATTTCATAATAATATATTAAAAGTGTAGTTGTTCTGCTATTATAATGAGCCCGACTGTAGATTTTTGCATGCGGGGGCTGACGCTGACCCTGACTTTTTTTGCGGGTTTCTTGCAGTGGCAATTTCCCCTTTCCCCTTCTCCCACCCCAATCATTGTGGTTCTTCTCCCCAACAGCTGACTGTTCAATGTCAATGCCAAAAGCTTTTGCTCTCCTTAAGACTCTCTCTCTCTCTCTCTCTCTATCTTTCTCTTTTCTCACGCGTGTGTTTGTTGTGGTTTTCGATTGAATATTATTTACGTCCTTATCGCAAAAAAAAAAACAACAGTACTAAAACAACAAATGGGCAATAGCTTCGATAAGTTCGGGGGCGGTGGGCGCGGCCCAACGGCAGGACGCCGTTGGCTGACGCACGTAAACTCTACTCCGAATCTGGGAGGTATGTGTCCTCCTACACTCAAAAAAATGTACTAGAGAAACTATAAAAGGTTTTATTTAAAATAGTAACTAAAACAATGATCAGAAATAGTGCTTTTCAAACCCATCAGTCTTTTGTTTTACAAACTTGTCATTATTTTATAATTTTAACTTAAGCTTGTGTTTATATATGTTTTTTTAAACATAACCAATGATACCTGTCAAACCAATGATACCTTTACAAAAAAAATTACTATTTTTAAAACAAATCAGTGCACTAGAAATATCGGTGTTTGTTGTTTTCGAAATAGACTTTCTAAATGAGTAGCCAATTTTCTTTTCAAAATATTTTAAATTTTTTCATAAAATACGGTATTTGTAGAATTGATCATCTTATTTTAAAATTGTAAATTTCATTTAAAGTCTATAATGCCCGAACACAATTGTGTTTAAAATATGTGATATTTGCATCAATTGTAATTATTTTTATTAAGCAAAACAAGTCGCTGATGAATTAGGTAAACGATTACGCATATTTAATATATTTAGAATTTCTCCGAGTGCATTGACTATTTCTGTGCGCAGTTCACTCTCTTGTATCCTTATTCTTTCGCCCACCCGCTTCTATTTTTACCGCCCCCTCGATAATCCAGAGACAGACGTCAGCGAGCTGGAGCCTCTGGAGCCGCGCTCCTCATCATTCTCCCATCCGGTGATTCTATAGTTTTTGCACTCGTTCTTGTTTTTGTTTTTGTTTTTGTTTTCGTTATTTTGTTATTTTGTATTTCTTTGCTCGCTTTATTAACTGAAATTTTTTTAGCAATGTAGTTTTCTATGGTTTCCGTTACGTTTTGATTGTTTACCCAATTTGCAAGAGCGCTAAATTTTAATTAAATTTTCGGCTTCTTCGCTGCATAAATTAATTACCCAGTTATACCAGTTATTTGTTCAATTTGTTTGTTTTGGTTTTGGCTTCGGACCCAGGAATCTGGAATCTCGGGTGACACCAATTCGGGCCCAATTGCAACTCCAGATCCGCAGTTAAGGTCCGACTTTTGAACGGTGCGGTTAAAGTACCCGCATTGGTTTCTCCAATTAGTATTAAGCCATTTTTTTTTTTTGGTGAGCGTTACAGAATTTTCTACAATGAAGAAGCATTACTTACTTACACTGACTGGCTTCATAGAAACCAAAAGAACAATTTAATTTATGTGAATAATCTTTAAGTGATATACCATAGATACGAGTTTCAACTGGTTCGGGAGAAATAGCGGTGAAAGTTTAAAATTTAAAATTTCGATTATTGGAGTTTAGAGTTTTAGCATTATTCTTTCAATTCAACGACGCCGAAACTCCGTTCAATAGTTTTTTTTTAACACATTTTTAACGCTGTTTTCGAAATAAAAGTGTTTGTTCTTTCTATGTGGCTTTTTGCTCTGTTTAAGGGCCTTCAGTTTTATTAAACAGTTTGAGCTGGAAAAGAATTTATAAAACCCCACCCAATTTCGGATTAAAGTTTTATTTATATTTGTACTGAACCGTTGTTTATGATTTCTAGGAATCTATGGAACTAGTAAAATAAAAAAGCTTTACTTTACTTTGCCTTTATGGCTTTCAGATCAGTTTAATATAGAAAATCATTGCCTTCAGGTAACACCGGACGTAATGTTTTGTAAAATACAAATAATAAATTACACCTGTATCATTGTTAACACGAATCGTGATTCAGCTTTCTTGTAATACAGAAAGAGAGAGAGATCCCAGAAAGATATGTACCGATCTCGGGTAGATATATACATATGTAGGTACATTATATATATATATATATATATATATATATATATATATATATAAAAGGTGATAATTTATCAGGAAGATCATATCGTTTGGCATTTGTTTGCTGTCTCAATCGGTTAGGTCTATACGTAGAGCAAGTATTTACTTGGCCAATTGGCGCTTAGGCGATTTTTCTGCCAGATCTGTGCTTCAAGATCCACAGAGCCCTTATCACTGGAATTCTTATCGGCCTGCTCCGCCGCCCGTTACCGGTTGGCGCTGTATTGTCGTTGCTCTTTGTGTCGCTCTTGTTGTCTTTGTAGTCGCTTTCATTAACACTGGCCGATCGGCCGGACGTGCCCGCTATATAAGTTGTAGTTAAGTCGTGTCGTCAACAAACGAAAGCGACGATGATAACAAGACGCCTCCAGCATGTCGAAACAATTACACAAAGAGAACGCGCCCTCTCCATATTTCTCTCACTCTTGGCCTTTCCATGCACTGGAAAAATATCAACTAAATATATGTATGAAATTTGAAAAATGTCATAATAAGCAACTTCATTTTATTTAATTCACAACATTTTTTTGTACAAAACTCTTATATGTGTAACAGGATGATTTTTAATGGAAACTTTAAGACTATTTACTTTAGTAATTATCTTTAGACTGACACTTTTTTGTTAAAGCTTCTTTAACATTCTTATTATAAGTATCGAAAAATAAATATATTGCTTTAAAATCACAATAACTTGACATGAATTTTTAAATTTCATTATTATTTAAAAAAAAAAACTCTTTCAATCGGATCCTAATTAAATTCCATAAAAATTTGAAAGTGGCTTTGGAGCTGAACTAATTAAATTGGCGTGTTATGAACATTTATATATATTTATACATTTATACATATTTATTTATACATAGTTGAAACAGACATCCCTTAAGTTCTCAGTAAAATAAACGATGAATTTTCGCTGAGTGTATTTCCCTATCTTTCTCTTTGTTCGACGAGTTCTCTTTCTGTTTTTTGTCTCTTGCTGATCAGATTCTCCTCAGACTTCGCGAGTGGGCGCACCACAGACCAATTGGCGCAGGCCCTCAAACAATCCGATACGATCCGATTCAATCCCCAGCGATCCCAAGCAAACCGTTTTGTTCAGAACCGTTAGTCAGTTGGCCGCGTTGCACGGAACAGTCGTTATACAGCTGACCTCGTCGTTTGGCGGTTTTTATTACGATATTTGTTATTTGTTCGGGTTAGGTCATCAGTTTTGGGGGAATTCGCCTCACAAGCACGTACGACTTAATGCATCGGATTCTCCATCAGTGTTGTCAACTACAGATTACAAAAGTGTAGCTAAAACAATCTACCAAAGTGGGCAAAGATAGATAAGGCTAATAATAAAACAATATAAACCATTAAAACACATATTTATGAAGTTTTGTAAAGGATTAACTTCTGTTTTTGGCAAAACACGGCGTAATTTCTTCAAAGTTGGCCATCTATTTTTCGAATTTCCTGTTTTGTGTAGTGTTTTAAATGAATAACAAAAAATACAAATATTCCTTTTAACAGTTTTGGAAAATTCAACGTTTCAAAGAAGTAATAAAAGGTTAAAGCTGTTCCCCTTGGCACACTTTTTAACCTACCTTGTTGTTTCTTCAAAAATTCATAACTATTTTTTTAATATTTAAATAATAAATATAAAACAGTTAATATTTATACAAAAGTTTTTCAACTTAATGCTTAATATAAAATAGCTCGACTATTTATTTATTTCAAGAATTACCTTAAAGTTTTAAACTTCTCCAAAACCAAATGTAAAACTAAACGGATTTCTGGCTTATAACTTAGAAAAAAAACAGAAAGTAGCTGAGTTGGCAACACAATGGATTGGATGCTAAAAAGTTGCCTCAAAATTAAATGGTTTCCGGTTTTCCACCATAGAAAGAAGTTATATTTACGTAGAAAGAAGCTGAGTGGGCCAGACAATGGAGTGGACGTGGTTTAAGGACTGGTGGCGTCTCAAAAAGCTCCGATCGCGTCATCAGCGGCATAAAAAGAAAGAAGCAGCGGCGGCAGCCGCAGGAGCTGCAGTAACCGCTGCAGCGGTTTTGCCGGGCTCGGATTGCAAGGTGGAAGGCGCTGGTTTCAAGGATCCGCTGACTAATCGGCGTCACAGCTTGGACGCGGTGCCATCGGATGGAACTATAGCCAGACGTCGACGGGGTCGTGGTCGCGATCGTTTGCGTCGTAATCGCTTGCTACAACGCCAGCGACGGAGTCAAAGTGCCGGAGTTCGCAGTCAACCGGGCACGGAGAACGCGCTCATTAGAAGCCAGGACGACGACGATGGGGAGTACGGACCCTTCAACGTCAGTGATTACGAGGATTACGGGCCGAATCATGGGAGCGACGAGGATAGCGATGACTTTTGCTTCTGCGATGTCTGTATGAATGTAGGTCTCTTTGTTTAGTTCAAAGATGTTGATTGATGAGTAACTATGAGACACTAATGAGTCGCCGAAGTTGGAACGAATTGAGCGCTAATTGGTTTGTTGGTCGGGCGACATCTCAACCGGTTTAGTTCAATGTAATTTGAGCTCTTTGTTGTCTATTTATTGACTTTTAAGTCGCTTGCTTTGGTTGAAAAACTTCAATTTTAGAGATTCTCAAACAAGTGATCTAAATCCGATTCGTTATCAATGCATACAAAGTTTACAACCGCTAAGTAATATTATGGTATTTGTGTTTGGTTTTTATAATCCTGCTGAAATGTAATTGATTTTAAAACAGTACAAAATGTTTATCGATGCATAACATTTTTACTACCGCTAAGTAATTGTTTCGTTTTTTAAACTTTCTTGACTAACAACATTTGAATTGTTTTAGCTTATAACCGATTCGTTTTTATGTTCCTGAAAAAATTTATACATAACAAGTTTGCTATTACTAAGTAACCGTTTCGTTCTTAAAACTTTCTTGTATAACAAATTAGAAATCGTTTCGGCTTATAACCGATTCGTTAATGGTTAATAACCGTTTCGTATATAGGGGACACTTTTGACATCGATTTCTACCATGGTATTTCTGTTTTTATAATCCTGAAGAAATTTACTAGATTTTAAAACATGAAAAAAAGTTTCAAAACATTGATTTCTAAGTTTCTTGTTATGGTTCTTAAACATTAATAACTTACAAATTTTTAACCGATTCGTTGATGTTTTATAAACGTTACCCATATGAGGCGAATGCCTAAAATCTGTGATTTTTTTTTTATTCCGGGAGAAAACAATCAGATTTGCCATTGTAAACTGAGCGTTACCTTTTTGTTAAACGATTTTCACGATTTGCTAAGCTCGCAGTGCTTTTCAGAACAAAGGAAACTCAATATATAACATTTTTTAGAGCCAAAAACGAATAAATCATGTACAAGAAATAAGGAATTTAACTAAATTATATATGTGTATGTAACTCAAAAAATCAGGTAGGCGAGACTCCAGATATTCCGCCCGCTGCCTGCTAACTGCCTGCGCAAATCTCTCTTTCAATCCGAGCCAACTCATTGATGACCGCTTCCTTGTGTTTTCAAAGGGCGACACGGACTTTGGGGACAGCAATGACGGCATGGACTCCGACACGAGCACCTCGTCCAGCAACAGCAAGCAGGTGGTCGTTGGCATCTGTGCGATGGCCAAGAAGACACAGTCGAAGCCGATGAAGGAGATCCTCACACGACTCGGTGAATTCGAGTTCATCAAACTGGTGACGTTCGAGGAGAACGTGATCCTGCGGGAACCGGTCCAAAATTGGCCCACTTGCGACTGCCTCGTCTCCTTCCACTCGAAGGGCTTTCCACTGGAGAAGGCCATCGAGTATGCTCAACTTAGGAATCCCTTTGTCCTAAATAACCTGCACATGCAGTATGATATTCAGGATAGGAGAAGGGTATACGCCATTCTGGAGAAGGAGGGCATCGAGATACCGCGCTATGCCGTCCTCGATCGCGACTCCCCGGATCCCAAACGTAAGTTTTATATATATATACCATATATGAAGAAGTTCCTGCTCATTCGGTAATATAAATTTCTATCCGCCAGATCATGAGCTTATCGAATCGGAGGACCATGTTGAGGTCAATGGTATCACCTTTAACAAACCGTTCGTGGAGAAACCCGTCTCGGCAGAGGATCACAATATATACATCTACTACCCAACATCGGCGGGCGGCGGAAGTCAACGACTATTCCGGAAGATCGGTAGCCGGAGCAGCGTATATTCCCCGGAGTCGAGGGTGCGAAAGACAGGATCGTTTATCTACGAGGACTTTATGCCCACCGATGGTATGCAACTTGCTCATTATGCACCCATGTTCTATGCAGCTGTAGGTACTTTCCCAAAAATTTCCCTACTCCCCGCTTAGTTCCCCTAAAATAATGGGAGGTATCTACATATTCCCATCTAGATGCTTCCCCAGGTATACCGATTTTTTTTAAACTCAATTTGCTTTTGTTTTTTTATTTATTTTTTTTTTAATAGTTTATTTTCAATTTTTGTTGCTGTCAAAAAAATTACTTTACCTTTGGGTTTTACAAACGTTTTTTTTTATTTAAAACAGGTCTACAAACATTTACAACCTATAAATTTCTTATTAAAAAATACATTTATTTTTGAAACCACGAATTTAAAATTTTTTTAATTTTGTTATATATACAATTGGATATAGAATTATATTAAGATTAATATTCATAATAATGATATTTAGTCATATTTTTAGTTCCCTTCCGCCAGATTTGCTCGGAAGAGAAACTGTGTAAAGAGAAATAAAAAAAAGCTGTAAAAACATAAAATATGGATTTAGAAAAACTGTGTACCTTCTCCATTGCAACCCCTCCGAAAACCCCGCTAATCCACTGTTTGCTCTGGCTGTCTGTTGTTGTTATGGCTTTGGCTAGCTCGAATCTTATAGACCCACCTAATCTAATCCTCCAACGAAGCATCGCTCATTGTGCCTTGTCCTCCTGCGTTTCGATCCGCACGCGCCGCTCATCGCCAAGCTCACAGAAATCTAGTAAATAGACAAAAAAAAAATAATAATAAAAAAAAAAAAAAAAAAATTATATTAAAAAATAACCAAAACCAAATAGAAAAACACCGATACACACCAGTGGACGCCAGTCGAACGCACTGAATCCAGCATCACCTTTACAACTTAGTGTACTTTTCAGGCACGGACGTCAAGGTGTACACCGTTGGGCCGGACTACGCCCATGCCGAGGCCCGCAAAAGTCCCGCCCTGGATGGCAAAGTAGAGCGCGACAGCGAGGGCAAGGAGATACGCTACCCGGTGATCCTCAATCATTCCGAGAAGCTCATCTCGAGGAAGGTGTGTCTGGCCTTCAAGCAAACCGTCTGCGGATTCGATCTGCTGCGTGCCAACGGGAAGAGCTACGTCTGCGATGTGAATGGGTTCAGTTTTGTGAAAAACTCGAACAAGTACTATGATGACTGCGCCAAGATACTGGGCAACATGATCCTTCGGGAGCTAACGCCCACACTGCACATCCCCTGGTCGGTGCCGTTCCAGCTGGACGATCCACCCATTGTGCCCACCACTTTCGGCAAGATGATGGAGCTGCGCTGCGTGGTGGCCGTAATCCGACATGGCGATCGTACGCCCAAGCAAAAGATGAAGGTGGAGGTGCGCCATCCCAAGTGAGTATACCTATCTGTGCTGTAATGTTTCAAGGCATCCATATTAAAACCAATATAATTCAAACAGATTCTTTGAGATCTTCGAGAAGTACGATGGCTACAAGCTGGGCCACGTCAAGCTGAAGCGGCCAAAGCAACTGCAGGAGATACTGGACATTGCCCGCTTCCTGCTCAGCGAGATCCACACGAAGGCCCATGCCGAGATCGAGGAGAAGGAGAGCAAGCTGGAGCAGCTGAAGAACGTCCTGGAGATGTACGGCCACTTCTCGGGCATAAATCGTAAGGTTCAGATGAAGTACCAGCCAAAGGGTCGTCCACGCGGCTCCAGCTCCGATGACAGTAAGTCCGCTCGGATTCCCCCATATCCAAGTGCCTCGATTAACAAAAGCGAAGCCAATCTAGCAGCGGATCAGCCTGTGGAGCCATCGCTGGTCCTCATCCTCAAGTGGGGCGGCGAACTGACGCCAGCCGGTCGCATCCAGGCGGAGGAACTGGGCCGCATCTTTCGGTGCATGTATCCAGGCGGACAGGGCAGATCGGATTACTCGGGCACCCAGGGCTTGGGTCTGCTAAGGTGAGATTACCCTCTCTTCTCAAAGCTCTATTATCGATTATGCACATTATATGGTGTACTTCAATTCACATTTACTGTATATAGCATTAATCTTTTGGCCATTTCATTCGCAAAAAGCATTTCTTTGCTCTCTTTGCATCTGTTTCGGGTGTATTTGTTGAAAAGTATGTACTCTACAAACAGTATTTGCGAAATAAGTACTTAGGTAAGGTAAAATATACACCATTTTACCAGTTTGTAGGTAAGGTAATCATTTTTTTTTTGTCATGTCACCCTAAGACATGGTAGAGTTCAGTTTTTGATGATATATGTTAATTCTGTCAATATCCATTGACAAACAACATTTTTTTTATAATTAAACCATTATTTTAGAAGTTCTTGGTAATTCAGTTTTATTATGACGTCACTGGATGTTTAAAAAAGAGAGTTCAGAATTTGAGACAGCCAAAGAGAGCAAAGAAACTGTTAGGGGGGGCGGCAGATGGCGCCACTTAAAACCCAATTGTTATCTGTGGGCATATATGTTTTGAAATATTGTAAGCGAAGTTTAAAAATATCATTTTATTTTGTATTCAGACTTTGAATATTGATAAAGTACCCAAATCTGAATATATTTAAGACAAGATAACTCTTTAAAAAGATCTATTGTTTCTTCCCAAAACTTAAGTAATCAATCAATTGTACTGCAGATTACACTCTACGTTCCGGCACGACCTGAAGATCTACGCCTCGGATGAGGGACGTGTCCAGATGACGGCGGCCGCCTTTGCCAAGGGTTTGCTGGCCCTGGAAGGCGAACTCACACCCATTCTCGTACAGATGGTGAAGAGTGCGAATACGAATGGACTGCTGGACAATGATTGCGACTCCAGCAAATATCAAAACCTGTGAGTATATATGTATTCTTAGACTTTGTAAACTTTATAATATGTTTTCAGAAGTTAGCTCACTCTCTTGCTTTAATCTTCAAATGCGTTTGTTATGATATGTTAAATAACTTCTTGAAGCTCTCTTTTTTAAGCTCTCATTACTTACGTTGTTCAATCGTTTATACATCTATACAGGGCTAAGGGACGCCTTCACGAGCTAATGCAGAATGATCGCGAGTTCTCCAAGGAGGATCGCGAGCTGATCAATCCGTGCAACAGCAAATCGATCACCCAGGCTCTGGACTTTGTGAAGAATCCGGTGGACTGCTGCCACCATGTCCACCAGCTTATCCGCGAACTTCTGCACATCATCAGCATCAAGAAGGACGACCCGAAAACCAAGGATGCGATCTTGTATCACGGTGAGACATGGGACCTGATGCGTTGTCGCTGGGAGAAGATCGAAAAGGATTTCAGCACCAAGTCAAAGCTGTTTGACATCTCCAAAATACCGGATATCTACGATTGCATCAAGTACGATCTGCAGCATAATCAACATACGTTGCAGTATGATCAGGCGGAGGAGTTGTATATCTACGCGAAGAACTTGGCCGATATAGTCATACCCCAGGAGTACGGATTGACGCCGCAGGAGAAACTGGCCATTGGCCAGGGTATCTGCTCACCGCTACTGAGGAAGATCAAAGGGGATCTGCAGCGGAATATCGACGAGGTGGAGGATGAGTTCATGAACCGTTTGAATCCGCACTACAGCCATGGCGTGGCCAGTCCTCAGAGGCATGTCCGTACAAGGCTCTATTTCACCAGCGAATCCCATGTCCATTCGCTACTCACAGTCCTGCGCTACGGGGGACTACTCAATGTGGTCACGGATGAGCAGTGGCGTCGGGCCATGGACTACATTTCGATGGTATCAGAGCTCAACTACATGTCCCAGATCGTCATCATGCTGTACGAGGACCCCACCAAGGATCCCACATCCGAGGAACGCTTTCACGTCGAGCTGCACTTCAGTCCGGGCGTAAATTGTTGTGTGCAGAAGAATCTGCCGCCGGGTCCGGGTTTTAGGCCTCATTCGCACGGCGACAATGCCTGCAATGTGAGTATGCAGTCCTCGGACGAGTCAAATCCCGCCAGGATCGAGGAGGAGAACGACTCGAATTCAGGAGAGGAGCGAGAGGGCAAGAAGCGAGCGGTAAGTGGATCACTTCTTTTTACTTCTTGACCAAGTCACGCAGATGGTGTTAAGTTATGCCTGCAACATAACGATATTAGCCCCTGTGTTCAGAATTATAAACGGATCTTAATGCTTTTCAAACATGGTGTTCTGTAAATCTATTAGACGGACTTATTCATTTCATTAGATCGTTCAATCCTGGAGGATTGCTCTTTAGTTTGGAGTCCCCAACATAGTGTACATATGTCTATAGAGTCTGTACTCTACGGGGCCCTTAATTGGGTTGCTTGGTGTCCAAATAATGTATAAAAAAAAAAAAAAAAATTAAAGTCTCTTTATCAATACTATTATTTAGTTTTGTGTGGTAGAGTCAGTAGTTATAATGATATGAGTGACTTTTAAAATAACTTAAATTAAATATTTGTTTTATGATAAATACGAGTTTGGCATTAATATTGAAAACCAACTTAGTTCTACTATAGCTACGACCAGGACATTTTTCAAATATTTTGACACAGTAAAACAATGAAGAGGTCAAATAGTGTTTTGGAATTAATAGACAAACTGGGTTAATTGTCTGGTTTATGTTTGATTGGCTGTTCCTTGGGGTAAGCCTTCACCTTATTTTAAGTGCCATTGATAATAGTATAAAAGTTATATTAATTCTAACTAGCGGTCTAGAATGTCCAGATTCGTTGATCAACCGTTAATATATAAGTAAAGCAGTATAGTATTTATATTTATATATGTAAAGTATAGTGTTTATACGAGTTACACTTGCATACATGGCATCCGAATTAATGGTTCGTTACTTTATTTTGTTACAGTCCACCGGCCAAAGGAGCTCGGATCGCAGCGCGGAACGCACCTCGCCCGCCTTTGGATTCAACAGGCTGGAGCTGCGATCGAAGCAGTTCAAATCGAAGCCCATACCCATTGGAGCCCATCACACGGTCAGCGGCCACGAGGCAATGGATCTGGCCAAGCGGCTGAACGAGGAGCTGGCCTCTCAGCAGCAGCAGCAGCAGCAGAACCAGCAGCTCCGCCCCATCAGTCCGGATATCCGGGCAGTGAGTCCCGACTGCGAGCCACGTTCCCGGAGCTTCGAGCAGCGGCCCTCCTCCGGCGTCTGTGCCAAGGAGCCGGGTACGTATGTTTGGCCAGGGTCTGACGGTCGATCGAGCAAAGCTTGCCGCCGCCGCCGCCTTCGCCGCCGCCTTCGCAGCCGCCTCGTCCCTAGGGTCGGGTACCCACCATCCACCCACCACCCACCCCAGTTACCCAAAGATAATCCAAGTTCCTTTCTTTGTCTAACACATCTCTCGCATCCACCCGATTGGCTATTCCCAGTTTTAGACTAATCCGCACTGAAACGGTTCGGTTTTCCCCACTCAAACATTATTGTGTGACATGATTTGGCAGAGGAGGCAGATGGGAAACGCAATTAAATAGTAATCTTGGTAAAAAAAATAACAAATATTTTGCTGTCTTTAAATCTAGACAGATTTGATTTACTTATCCGAATTGTGGTTTTTGTATATAAGATAATTTTATGGCAGTGGCATAACTTCAATTTCAAAGATAAGGTTTTAAAAGTTGTTTTTTTTTGTGAGAAAATTGGTTCATTTCAAGAAACATGAGGAAGATAAGTTTGTATATTCAACGAGATATTCCCTCTGCCAGATTATCCATCTTCGGTTGTGCCGAAGAACCCACTGTTTTAATTTATTGAAATTGTGCATAACTTCTTTTCATCTCTTATGGTTTTTAAGATATATTTTTTTTGTGGGGTTCTTTGCATGCCGTTCCTTTGTTTTCTGTGTTTGCGTCTCACGGTTTCCCGTCCGCACTGCCACCTAACACCACTGGGGATCCCCAAGACTAACACTACAGGAAGGAAATCCCTACCCGAAAATCCTGAACTCGCTTTAATTTTGTCTTATATATTCGCCACCCCCCCTCCCCACCCCCAGAATATTTCGATGAGTTTGACTCCTTTTATTAATATATATATATATATATATATGAATAGATAATATATATCCTTTAGCTAGATGCCTCTCTATTTCGAATGGTAATCGAATAATATTCAGTTGTCATTTTTTTTTTTTTTATCATTTTTCACTATTGCTGAAGAAAAAGTTCTAAAGAATTTCCATCTGTATCTCTCTCGAGCTGTGCCCAACATTTTTTGGTTTTCATTTTTTTAATTGTATAACGATCGAAAAGAGACACACACACACACACACACACCCAGGACACATAACACACTTAAACATACCTTTTTCGTTATATATTATCTCGATCTGTATTTTTTTTAAATGAAAGAACAAACTACAATGTTTGACGAGAAAAACTGAAAATCTATAAGCATCTGGCCGCGGAATCCCGTGTACTTGGCAATGCTGGTTACACTGTCTTAGCCACACACACAAACACACACACAGCGACTCTTGCCACGCCCCGCACTCCAACCACGGCCCCACAAAAGGCAGCTGAGCCCCAGGAAAAATTTTCACCCACTCGCTTCTTTTGTTTAGAAGAACATTTTTTTTTTAAATTTTTGCTGGGGTCCAGCTACCGATGGTCACACTTTGTTCTATCCCCCTTTGTTGCTCCTTCTCTCTCTCTCTCTCTCTCTCTCTCTTTCTCTTTCTCTATCTCTATAACTCTGCCTGTTTATCTGTCTCCATTTGTCCTGTCTATCTACCTATGTTTTTGTCTCAGTGCATGAAAAGCAAAGATTTGAAAAATATTGGAAAATAACTGCAAAAATTAAGTTTGATTTTGTGGAGTTATCTTGTCTGTGTCTGTACGTTGCTCGTTGTTGTTGTTTGCAGACCCAGACCCTCTACCGCCCACCCAACCACCCACCCACTCCCGCCAAACATATACATGCGTAGGAACACATAACTACCTACAGAACATATATTAGAACACAAGGACCTAATCGGACTCCAAACCCACATATGTACTCTTTCGAAGCCTGAACTGTGCCATGTTCTACTAAAAGCTAATACTAAAGCCTCTGCCGCTGCAGCCCCCAAGTTTGCCAGCTTTAAATTTGTCTAAATGCTCTTGGGTATCAATTATTTTTGTAAATTTCGGATAAAACTTGTGTTTAGATATACAAAACTTTGGATTAAAATTTAAAGCTGAAATACGTAGACATAAGAACTTCCTAGGAACAAAATATATAGTTTTGAAAAACAGTTTTCGAAAACGCAAGTGCAAGGTTAAGACAATAAGTTAGCAGACACAATTTTTTATTTATTCTTTCTCTCAATATTCTGTTGCTACAAGAGAATTTTATATTTAATGCACTGATAGGTTTAATTTAGAAATGTTCTATAAATTAATAATACTACTGGATAAAAGTTACAACTTTCGTGCGAATATTACCAACGAAATTTCACAAATTGTATTTTTTTTTAATATTAGTTACAATTTAAGAAATCTTAAGGGTATTGCAAGAGCATTTTCCTTACCTTTCGGCTTGCCGATTTTTTTTTTTGGCTCCCTTACGTTTTAATTTTTTGTTTTAAAATTGTTTTTCGTTCGTTTTTTTGTCTATTCCCTTGTTTTCAACGAACCTTTGTTTTTCAACGAACTTTACGCGATCTTCGACATTTTAATTATCTCGGCTAATGAGTTTTCTATTTGTACACACCAATACATACAACAACGCACGGACACTCAAAATATTCGAATAAATCAATATGTGGCTGACTTTGGACTGGAAACTCGAATCCACCATCATGTCTTACTAACTACCCACATCCTGACTTCATTTTGCTCTTGGACTGATCGTGACTTTGACCTTTAGTAGTTGGGTCTAATTCTAAAGAGGTTTCTCAGGCAGTTACGCCTCAATTTGAGGATATTACCGAGGCTCGTACTGCTGAATTTGCCGAAATAACCCATGCTCGAGTAGGCGTGACCAATAGGTCGGATGGTGGAAATCGCACGGCTTTTCAGATTCGGGTTACGGACAGTTTGTCCTTCTTCAAAATTGACTCATCGACGAACGAACTGCCGTTGTCGGAGATTGATTTCTCGCTCCACCCGGCAACGCCGCAATGCGGTCCGTTGTCACACAAACGCCTCCATGTACTGACCATGCGGCGCATGGAGAGCTGTGACGAGGGCGACGATCTCGAGCAGCTTAGGCACCTGCCGCAGATCTCGCCGATGGCCACCAACGAGCGGCCATTGAGCTCTTGCAATTGCAGCAGCTCAGCGGTTCAGGCGCACTCGCACTCCAAAAGTCTGATGGACTTGGGACAGGCGATTGCACCGATTGCTCCACCAGAAACTGGGCAGGATTTGGAGACGGGCGGTGAGGCGTCAACTGGGGCGGAGGTTAGTGCCAGCAGTTTCGATGATGACTTCCAGTTGTCCAGCTCTGCACCGGCCATCCTGATGAGCTCGCACTTTAGCCAAAGGCCTTTGGTGGCCAATCTTTCGCCCATGGCGCATGCCACCACCTCGCCCACAGCCTCAACTTTACGTCTCTGCCAGGATATGGACAAGGCTTCGGCTTCAGCTTCGGCTTCGGCTTCGGCCACATCATCTGCTCAACGCAAGGCCACCAGTAGCTCCTGTGACCAGCTGTCCATGCCAGCCTCGGCTCCTGCTGTGACGGAAAATCCGTTTCGCTTCGCCGCTTCATCAGTGGGTGCGGCAGCGGCAGCGGCATCGAGTGCCTGTTTTGTGAGTTGCTTCGAGCCAATCGAAGAGCAGGTCACTCCCACCATGGAGGTGGATGCACAGCCACCGCAACCAGAGCCTCAAGTGGTGTATAATTTGCCCACGTTGCTGATCACGGGCGTAGCCAGTAACACCGAAATGACGAGCAAAAAGGAAGCCAGTAGAATGACAAAGACACCAACAATTTCAACAATTTTTGCACCAGTAGATGGGGAAATATCTCAGGATATAGCTCTATCAATAGATATAGGAAAACAGACAGCAGAATGTACAACAATAGTTACACCAACTCATATTACAATAGATACAACAACGATTGCACAGGTAGTTACACCAACAGTTACACCAACAGATACAACAACTGATATAGAAAAAGCAATACCAACTGTTACAACCACCGATATTTCAAAAGGTATACGAAATGTTACACCAATTACGTCACGAACAGCCATCCAAACATCTCCACCAACATTTACAACATCCAACTCCAACTCCAACACCACCACCACCACTACAACAACAGCAGCAGCAGCAGCTTTGTTTGATAATACAAGAACAATATCTTCTAATCAACCATTTACTAACCAATTCCAATCGATCGATCCCACCTCAAACGACGCACCACACCAACATCATGAACATCAACATCAACATCACCATAAAAACTCAACAACAACGATCACCAATCAACAACAACAACTACAACTACAAATATCATGCACCATGAATAACACACTGAACGAAAACACCACCACCACCACCGCCACAAATACAAACACCACTACCACGACCCCGTCTTGTTGTACCACTACCATCGCCACAGATAGCCAAGTTTCGGTGTCGGTTTCGGCCTCGGTGTCATCGGCCAACTCGTCCACGTCGTCGCGTCGCCAAAGACACAGTATTGCCGGCCAGATGTCCTATATGAAAATGTTGGGTTTCGGTGGTTTTAGCAAAAAGATGGCCACCAGTGCGAATAGCCTTTTCAGCACCGCCGTCATCAGCGGCAGTTCGTCCGCCCCAAATCTTCGCGACATGATACCGGTCTCGTCATCCGGTGAGTACACAAAATCGATCTATTGAGCCATGATATGGAACCCTAGGGTAGTGTTAACTTACAACTATAGATTTTATTGATTTAACCAAAAGATGTAATAAGATATGAGTCCTATTGTCAATACAGAAATTCATTTTACAATTTTTCCGACTACGTATATATATACTCTTGGTCGGGATCACTAGGCGAGTCGATGGACAGACTATCGACCCAATAAAGTATTTATACTCCTTATCAGCATCATTAGAGAGTCGGAGAGTCGTACTTTTCAATGAGTACAATATACCCTCTTACTCTACTAGTATACGGGTATAATTAAATAATTATCTATTGTGTAACTCGCTAAGAAAATATTTCTTTAACAATGATTCGGTTTTGTAATTCTTAAAAATTAAAAAATAAATTGAGTGCCTTATAATGACAGCTATTTCCCGCAGGATTTGGCGATGTGCCACCAATCCGGCCACTTGAGACGCTGCACAATGCCCTGTCGCTGCGTAAACTGGACAGCTTCTTGCAGGACATGATCCTGGCGCAGATCTTCAAGACGCCGACAGGATCGCCGCCGCGTGGCTTTGCCAAGAGCACCTTGCCAGCGGTCTCCTCGATGACGCTGAACGCCACCGGCAACGAGGCGCCAGTGGTCGGTCAGCCGGCGATGCCCAAGCCCGCAACGCCGACCTTTGACCGCCGTGGCAGCGAGTACGGATCCACGATCGATGCCCATCCGCAGGAGAGCCAGTGCCCCATTATGGACGACAGCAACTCCGCGCTGCTGCAATCGCTGGCGGAAAAGATGCAGCGTAAGTGCAGAAAAATGTCGGTGGTCGAGTGGCAGTACTGAGCTGAGCTGGACGAGATCTGGTTCACCTTTTTCTTATGTACCCCTTTCCCATCAAAATTCAAGATTAGCCAAGCACACAAGTTTATATTTATTTATCACAGTTTTCAATTAATGTTCAAATTTTGCAAAGCGCATATATTTAATAAAGATGTTTTATTGATGTTTTGCGAAATCAAATGTATATATATTTTTGCCTGCTGATTTTATAATTATCAGATCTTGGCTTTAAGCATAATATATTTTTCATTATAATATTTTATCATTTTATTTAAGTAAAAACAATTTTTATAAATTTTTTTTGTTAATTAAATTCTAAAGAAATTTTGTTTTCGAGCATTTGTAAAAGTCTTTGATTGAGAAAAATCTATTTTCTCAGATTTTTTTTCGTAAAATTGTTTTGATCTTTAGATCAAATTTGTGATTTTTACAACCTACTCAGAAAAAAGAGTTTCGAATATATTTTTCCTAATTTAATTTTGATTAATAAACCTATTTTTTAATTTATTTATATTTTTTTCAGAAAATCCAACAGAGCCAAGCATTTAAAGCAAATGCAACAAACTCTTTATTTTTACCTCTTTGTGTATGTTAATAACCAATTAAAATTGATATTTATGCATAGAAATGTTTGTCATTGTGTCTTAAGTTCGATAAGTTCTTAGATCTTTTAATCGGAATTGAAATAAATATGGCAAGAAGTGTAACGATATGTATTTATTAAGATGATTGTGTGTATGTAGGTGCGGTTTTATTTCCTTTCATAATCTTACTTTTAGGTACAAATTTGTAAACTTTCAATTTTCGCTTTTTAATTGTGGCTATTTCGCTTGCCTTTTTTCCTACCATTTTTTCGCACTTCATCTTTCTGTCTTACCACTCTTTAAAAAGTTCCTTACATTCATTTTTACCTCTTCATTATGTCTGCTTGATTTCAAATAAATGTGCATTAGGGTAGGTTAAATTCAAATTTTATTGAATAGTATTTAATGTCATTTTGAAATTGTAAATTTATATTCTTGCTTTTATAATAATGCAAGCATTTAAAAGTTTTAAAGTTCAGGATATATGAATTTTCTTTACAACATTGCAAATGAGATTTTTTCTTGTCCAACATAAAACAGCAAAAAAGTTAAGTTAAGTTAATATATATTGAGAATAGTGAAAATGTGAAATTGTTCTTAAAATGTTCATTCAAATGATGACTATCTTAATGTATACGATATATATGAAATTATTTTCTGATTGATCCTTGTTTCATTATTTGTCAATTTTATTTTGGTCTCTTTTATCAATGGTTTAATATTATTTTTTTATTTTTTAAGATTTATCGTTATTAGTTGCTTATTTAATCCACACTCGCTTGCTTTTCATTTGCATTCATTTTTCGTTTCGCTGTTGTTCCGTTATGCATTGTTTCATTGTTGTCCGTCCTCATAATAAATTATTGTTAAACTAACATCTTTAACCCCTTGACCATCAACCACACACCCGTACACAAAAAGTTTGGCCGCAGGATAGTCTTCCGGCAGCCGAGGAGGAGGAAGTATCCCTACCAGATTTGGAAATGAAGCCCAGGTGACATAATATTTGTGCAATTTATTCCTATACCCTTGCAAAAGTATTTTAATTTCCGTATGTATTCCGTATATATATTTTAAATTTCGCTGTTTTTTAATTTATTTAAACATACGTATTTTAAATAATATCATAAAGCTGCCATAAAAGCAATTGAAAAATTCAACGGAAAATCGACATACCTTTCAAGTTTCTATACACTTTATAGAATATTTTGTTTATGTAATAGCTGCAAGGGTATATCAACTTTGGCCTGTCGAAGCTGTTATTCTTCAATAATATTTATTACATGCACTAATTTAATATTTGTTCAGTTTGGATCTAACCATGGAGATTATGGAACAGGGGACAACGGCAGCGCCCACCTCATTTGAGCCAATGAACCGGGACAGCCTGGAATCCGGAGAAGGAGCGGTTGGCGGTGGAATCTTTCTGAGCGTTTGCGAGGAACAGGGCAGTGGCAGCACCTGCCTCACACCAGTGAGCTTCGGCGTTGATCTCGACCTGAGCATGGTGGCCAATAAGGGCTCCATGACGCTGTCTATGGATGTGAGTGCATTGTCTTACTAAACTTTACTAAATTTATATATTTCGCTAACTGTACTTAAGTGGGGTAGGACTCTAAATTTGTTTTCTGCAGGGTATCCAACAGTTTTTGAACCGTTATCCTTAATCGGTAAAACCGAATCAAAACCGTAACTTAAACCGATATATGAGGAACCGATATAATAAAATCAAAGTAACCGAAAACAATATTTGATTCATTTCAACTCCCTGGATTTTTGTATTTTTTGAATCTACAGCCGATTGTTCTGAAATTGTTTTCATACTTCCACTTTTTTTAATAAACGAACATCGACATTTTTAGCAAAAGTCAACATTTTCACTTTCAAGAGCTGCCAAAAATAAGAAAGAATTGAAAATGAAAAAAAAGTTTTACCTTCACATTTTTTGTAGTCCCTTATATTTTGGATTTCCCTACTCTCATGTATTTTCGAATCATATTCTTTTTGCGACTTGCGAGTAACACTATTGGTTTCTTTGCCCTTCCAGGGATTTGAGGACGATGAGGATGCCACTTTGTCGGCGGCCACCACACCTTCTTTGCCGGCCGACTGTGAGCCACGACTGGAGACCTGCTACTGCTGCCCCAGTCATGCGGAGGGTCCTCCGGAAGTGGCCAGCGATGATCCGCGCTTCGGCTTTGCCCTGCCCGTTCGTGTCACCCAGCCATCGCCGGAACATGGTCGTCCCCTGCGCCGTGCTCATGATCCCGTCTCGCCAAGGATTCAGAAACAGATCAGCTTGTTCGAGGGCACTGCCGCCCAGGCTCAAGCAGTGGGTCAGGATAAATGCGAGTCCAGTGGCTCGGTTGGTGCGGGCGGTGCAATATTGCATGCCTCCATTAACTTGCCGGCGGCAGGTCCGCAACATCTGCGCCAGGATGCTCGGCTGCGAAAATTCGAGAACCTCACGCAGTCCACGTCGAACTCGAACTTTCCCTTCGAGAGCAACACTCTGAAGCGGGTGCCCATGGTGGCCACCGATGACTATGCCAACGTGAGCCACACCCAGAGCTGCATTAATCTCAAAAGCGACAGCAGCGGAGTCCTCGGGGGATCGCCGCAGCATCAGAAAGGAGGTGCCTATAGAAAACGGTTTTAGCCCTTATAATAGAGATAGATAGAGTCCAGTTATGGAACGGTATGTGCTTATTCGGTCAACACCTCTCGAAACACCAAAGATTTTCGAAATCGAGTCAATATTTAAGAAGTTATTGGCAGTTGACTCTGCAGCTCGGCAAATGGCGCCACATAGCCCCATAATTGTTTTCTGAGGGCATGTTTATTTTAATATTAGATAGCTATGTAACGGATATCTAATAGTATAGTATAATATAACTGATATCTTGAGTACAGCGTTCCTTCTTCAGTATGTAAAATGAGGAATTAAGTATACTCATAACTATTGAACTAGCCAGTAAGCACCCGACATCCTTATTTTGAATCGATTTTACTTTCTATTCCTAATACGTGACCCAAATAACCATTTTATTTGCATAATAGAATCCAACTCTAAAGTTCTTTCACTAAAAATTTCATAACTGATGCTTATTTTCAGCTGTTTACCAGCAAAGCTAGCGGGATTTTTTTATTTTGCTGATAATTCAAACTTATTAATTTATTTTTTATATGTAGACAAATGAGTTCCGAAGTTTCTGCTTTTATGAAAGCATTCAAACACTGCTTATATTGATCTTGGAATAAACATAAGCTTATAATACTTTTAATTTGTTCTCTGCAGGATCCGGTGGAGCAGGTGGAGTTGCTGGAGCAGGTGGAGTAGGTGGTGTCCCGGCGGAGCGGGAGCCACCGCGAGCCCACTACGGACGGATGATCAACGCCTGCTGCTCGGCCTCGGCCTCGCCGTCGCCCTCGCCGGGAGCGCTCATTGTCAAGGAGCGGTTCATCGAACCGCCAAAGCGGGGCGTCGTCCGCGGATACCATGGCAAAACGCAGTCCATGGACGCCGACTTCCTGTTCAACGAGTTTCTGCTGCTGCCGGCCATGGCACCCGCCAAACTATCGTTCGATAGCACAGATATCGATCGGGCCAGCGATGACGAGGCACCTAGCACATCGCAACAGAGGCACTCTTAACTTTCAATCCAACTACAAATCTAAAAAGCACTCGCATTCTTAAGCCAAGCCAATCTAACTCTAACTCTAACTCGTACAAGATATCGTTATTGCGGGCCTTATCGGAAAAATCGTTATCGCTAAAGCGAGAGCTATCGCAAATATCGACTTGCTGTCGGACTTTTTAATCTTAATCAAACTGTTTGTTGTTGTTAGGCCAAGAAAATACAAATAAAAGGCTTATCTCTTATTTTTGTCCAAAACAACATGGATTTTGATTTCAAAAGGCTATTAAAACTAATTGCATTGTTGGTAATGATGTAAAGCGTCAGTTGTAGATGACATATTTTGATTTTTTTTTGGATTTAGTAATGCTGATTTTTCTAATTCTTGCAAGTAAATATTAAAAATATATTAAACATGTTGTAACTGTAGCTAGATGGTGAAAAGGAAAATCTTTTCTACTTGCACTGATCTTAATCCACAGCGAAATTTTTGAAATATCAGACATGCAAAGCGATGCGGGCCATTACTCTACCGCCGAACACCTCTCTTCCAAAAGACAAACTATCTGTGGGTGCCTGCCGTAGCCTACTATACGTATGTACATATATCTTATGCAAACGTGCCTCGCATACGCAGTTTAGAATTCGCAATGGCACTCTGAATGTGGATCGAGGTTGACAAGTGAAACCGCTGGCCACCATATCCGTAGAACAGGTGGGTCATTGACAGCCGATCGCACTTTCACTTGGCCCGATCATTAGCATGGCATCATCGTCTCCATCCCCAGCTGCAGGCCATCATCATCAGCATCGTCATCATCATCATCATCTTCATTACCATCGTCATTGTTACCATCGGCTAGCGATTGTTGTCGCTGGTTGAGTAATCCCCACCTAGATCCGATGAAGACGACTTAACTTGGACTTCTTGGCAGCTGATATAATAGGCGAACCTGGTAAGGTGTCTTTTAAGAATAGTTTAACTATCAATAGGAAAACAGGAGGGTCCAAAGGGGATACTTTCAATGCTTTATATTTAAAAATTGTATTCATTTTGATATTAGCGAATACATTTACACATTTTAGTATCTTGCCATTTAAATTTCACTCTCTTAAATCCACTGGGAAAAAAGAAATATAATCATTCTCAATATAATGTAATATAAAGTAAATAATGTAGGAAAACGAAATGATAAATAAAATATATATATTACCCTTTGGATTTTCTAAAAAAAATATGTGTACGCCCGTGAAAAGTATTAAGTTTTTTTTTTCCACTCAAAGAACTTATCTCACTTATTAAATGTATTGTTTTAACGCACATTTGTTGTTTCTGCTTGGCAGAACGCAATGCATGCTGGTCTTTTGTTTGCACTTCACGTTGATGTTAAGCACAGTAATTAGTATAAGAAAACAAAAACAGAGATCGGCTAAAATGCAAAGGGAAACAACAAAACGTTTCCACTCAATTTAGTTTTTTGGTTAATTTTGCTAGCGCACCTCTTCTGTCTAACAAATTATTTGTAGGCGGTTGCAGAGGGGTATTCGAACTGTAACAAGAGCAAAAGTGTGGCCAGCACACACACTTTCTCAGTTTCTAATGTGCATACACTGAGGGAAATTACTTTTATAAATCTATCGAAGTAAAGTATCTTTGCCAGCTTAAATATAACTAAAATACTGTAAGATTTGATATTATTCAATTGTTTATTTTTTTAATCTGTGGGGGAAATAGCATTGCCAATTTTTCATATCAAACATTTATTAAAAAAGCACGTTAGCTAACATAATATTGGACACTTTATATAAAAAATACACATAAAATAAATTTACAAAATAATACATAAAATATTGTATTTATCATTGCTTGACAACATTTCGTATATATTTCAATCTTAGTTTTTTTTATATTTTTAATAATTATTCAGTCTACAAACAAACAATAAAGTTAAACTTCAATGCCACTATATGAATAACATTACTTCAATATACAAAATTGGATAATTTGATATGTATTTTTAACGCAATTAAAATGAAGAGGTTATTGTGATCGAATTAAGTGCTCTTTTCTGCCAGTGTATGCAAAGGCAGCCCATTAGCTGTGCGCTGTTTGGCATTTGGTTGTATGCGGGCTACCTGCGGGGGTTGGGGGCGTTTGTGGGGGCGTGGCGGTAAATATACAGGTAAACTCACAGGTGCGGCCTCGTCTAGCCGCAAAAGTTTCGCCTCGGGCGAAAGTTCTAAACGAGACGAGAGTGTGACCCTTATTTTCCTGAGGCTTCGCCAATTTATGCAAATGCCTGCTGGTCAATCGAATGCCAAGATTGCGCAGCCAAATAAAAATAAATCAATAACAAAAATAAGTTTTAGAAATTCGGAATTCCAGCAGTCGACCATTTTTGGTTGGATCTTGGCATAGTTATATTTATTATCAATTCGTTTATTTAAAGTTTTTATTTTTTGTTAAAGACAATGCTTCCAGTTTAAATCAATAAAATTCAATTTTATAACAGAGTAGCAAAATAGATACCCACTTAAAGCTCATTTCAGAATTACATCCGACATTGCATCCTAAAACTAACTTTTCTTAATAAGGTGCAAAAAGTAGCACTTAGTTTTGTAAATTTTACAAGAATTTTACTTACAAATAAAATAACAAAAGTTTGCCGAAGCAAACTTTCTTTCTCGTTTCAGTACCCTGATAACATGTGTAAAATTGACTCAATATCACTTAGCTTAAGCTTACTTTATATTGAAACAAGTGAAAACGTGTATTTTAAATTATAATTGGAATTCGCTTTTATTTATAAAATACACCAAAGTTAGCTAAGATTTGGTAACATTCCTCAACCAAGTTGTTTAGTGTGTTTAATTTTTGAAATTTTTTTTGGCTATTTACCACTTTTTTTTGTGTGGTTGCGCTGAATATTCATGGAAACGAGCGTGGCGGCAGCCCCCGAATTATTTGCATAACAGAAAATGTTTAAGCTCGTTTTGCGTCTCATTTCTTGGCTGCTGGCAGAATCGACGCGACGGCAGATCGACGGAGAAAGAGTCACCCGGCGTTCGACAAGTTGTTCACTTTCTTTTTCACTTCACCTCGAACCCAGTCAGAAATTGTTTTCTTCCCTGTCTTTCTTTATTTCTTTTAAACGGATGGAGTTGCTTAAGATTATGATGACGACTGTCAATGTCGCATGTAAATATTTTCCATTTTACGGAACCAGAAGGTGTTGCTTAGAAGATATAGCATAGCATAACGATTTTTTTTAATAAAATCGAATAACCTTCTTGGCTATAAAGCATAATTTGTTTCTTATTTGGGGAAATCGGCTTATTTTCCATTTAAATTATAAATTAAGGTCATGCTAACCATCATCTGTGTATGATTTTGAAGTGCTTTTTATAGAGAGCGATAACCATCCTGTTGACCATTTGCTTGGTTTCGCCTTTCGAAAGGCGACTCATTAATCATGTGTCCAATGAGCCGGAGCTGTGCATTGTTTGATCTCACCTGAAGCTAATTACGCACTTCGGTTGCGGGCGGTGAAGGGGGTCAAAGGGCAGGAGGCGGGAGGCGGGAGACTGGAGGGAGTGGCCAAGGAATGAACATTGCAAATCGCGCATACGCCCCGCATGACAAGTGAAAGATACTGAGATGTGATCGAGAGGAAAAAACGTCGTTAACTGGCGACGTTTTCGAAATTATTCAACTCTCTCTCCCTTCGCCACCTTGAAAATCTTTATGAAAGAATTCCAAAATCCGATGGAGAGTGAAAGCAGCCGGCAAAATGCGCAAGTTTCGTTTGCCCCCCAAAAAAAAAAAACAAAAAAAACTCCCAAAGATCATTGACTGTCGCTGTGTCTGTGTGATTTTCGTATCTCTGATTTTGTTGTATCTGTGTGATTTTGTTTGCCTGCGTGTGGGATTGAGCTGTACCTGTGTGTATGCCACACACTTGCTGCTTGTTCATTTTCATTTTTGGGCTTGGCCCGATCGGCGATCAAAGTGGTGAACTCGTTTTTTAGCCGCCTTAGACTTATTGAATGTCTGGTCAATGGCTAAGGGGAATTTATCGGATACGTGTGGGCATATATAGTGTGCATTTAACCCACTGGAATCTGGTAGTGACTGCAATTAAGCTGGCTGAAATAAATTATAATTAAAGGGCCATACAAAAATCTGTTCTTTGGTAATATTATATTCGATGTTGCCTAATAACCTTAGATCAATTATCAATTATAATTATACAAATTATTTAAAAAATCACCGTTTTCCCCAGCTTAAGTCTCCATTTAAGTATTATATTTCGGTGCTAACTGTTTGGTTGTCCAAATGGCTGCCGACATATTTGGACAGACAGTATTGGGCATGCATTTATGGATATCCATTCTGCTTATCATGCAGTCACCTTTCGCAATGTGATCAGCGATTTATGAGCACGCCGCCAAATGTAAAACAAAACGAAAGACTTAAGACACAAACTTGTCGCAGCAGCGACTGCAACTGCAGCAGGTTGCAACTTACATAAAGCAAGTGCCAGAAGTAACGAAAGCCAAAATAAAGAAAAAGCGGAAAAAAAGGCTGAAAAACAAGTGGAAAACCAGTCATGAAGTTGCCGGCCAGGAGTTTTTGTTCAATTGCTTAAATATTTCTCCTTTTTTTTTATTCGGGCTTTAGTTTCTTTTGTCTCTTGTCCGTTTTGTTTTACCCCTTGCGTAAATTATTTTTTTAACTGCACTTTCGCGCCAGACTTTATAGAGGCGCGGGAGTGGTGTCTACTTCTTTTGGTTTTTGTATTTATTTTTCAGTCTGGCATACTTTTGCTCTTATCTTTGGAGTGTTTGATGTCTGTCTGATTGCAAATGTTCGATGCTGCTTCTTTAATGGCTATTACTGTCGTTAAAAGCTTCTTCTATTATTAATTGCTTATTTTGATTGCTACACGGAAAAAAACATCTAACAATATCAGCTTAATATTATTGTTTCTATTTTATATATCATCGTAAAATTTGTAGTCCAAATTCTAATCCCATTTTAATACCCTGGAAATGTATTTTTAGTAATTAATTAGAAAAGGTATTATAAATTTATTGTATCTTTATTTAAGTATTTTATGTTTTCTCCCTAAAGGTATATCATTAAGGTAATTGTAATGAAATGGATTTTCCTTTGTTAATTATTTTAAAAATCACTTTGAGAGTAAATGTAAGCATACATGTAAATGTAATTTATTTTTTGACAAAACTTTGTTAAC